CCTCGCAGGACACAGTGCGGGTCCTGGCAGACCCGTCACAGGGGCATACTCCTAACCCAATCCCCCTTCCCTCTCCTCCCCTTCCCTTCCCCAGAGCCAAAACACCTCCTCTCCCTGCTGTAACCCAGTCCCCTCTCTCCCCCAACCTTATGTTCCAGTCCTAACAGACACCACTGCTTGAAACGCAATCCCCACCTTTTCCATTATTTTCAATGGGAAAATTGATCTCGCATAACACGTTTTCACTTTATACGATCATTTTCTGAAACATATCTATAGTGTTAAATGAGGAATTACTGTATTCATAAATTCTGACAATCTTTTCTTTGAGAATCTCTAGTGCCTTCTTGCCCTCGCTTGGAGTAGGGACTTGAAATTTGACAGTAGGTGGGGCTTTTGCATCAAGAATATGCCTTTGCTGTCCCTGTAAAGATCCATCCAAACTGGTGAAGTTATAAGCATTTGGAAAAAATGACAGTTTGCACAAGCTCAGCAGAGACTTGCTAGAGCTTCACAGTTTAATTCCTCAAAGATTCCAGCAAAATGACCTTGCTTCAGCCTGGGTTTAAGCAGGTCTTTCCTTGTCCTTTGAAGTTCCTTGCTCAAGTCCAAATCCAGGCCCAGAACTGACAGCAGGGAGCCTGCCTGTCAGGGCAGAGTTTGGAGAGAGCAGGCGGGAGGGCAGCAGCATTGGGACACAGAATGCTTTTCTTCTTGTTCCCCTGGTGATAAGGGAGCAATGGGAAAATACTTGGATTCTGTGCATGCCTCTTGCTCCTGGCTGGTGAAGGGAGGGGGCAGAGGTGTAAACCACGGAATCTAAGTACTTTCCCTTCGCTCCCTATCGGCAGATGAATGGGAAGAAAAGCAAGTTGCATCCCAGTGCGCATGGCTGCTGCCCCTCCTGCTCTTTCAAAATTCTGTCCTTGCTGCCTGTCCCCTGCCGCCAGTGACACCCCCACTGCTCACCCATGCTGGGCAGTATGGATGAGAAAACTGCATGACTCAAATGCTGAGGGGACAAGAGGCAGATCTGGGATGGAGTGTGTGTGTGTATGTGTGTGGATCATACTGGGACAAGATCCAGGGTGAGAGAAACTGGAACTGCAGGTGGAGGGAGAGGGAAACTGGGACTCGCTGAACAAGGAGAGTGGGATTGGGAGTAGGCGAGGACAGAGAAGATTGGAACTGGTGGGACTAAGAACCAATGAGTGAGTGAAAACAGTGGGCAGGGAGGGAAGGTAAATCTTCTGAGGAGACAAGAAGCCGGGGGAGGGCAGAACTGGGGAGGGATAGGCAAGGAAGCTATGACTAGGGATGTCAGTGTGTAGACGACTGCACGATTAACCAATAACTTGGGCTTATTGGTTAATCTTGTTGACTACACACATCCCCCGTCCCTTGCTGCCTCTGCATCAGAGGCAGTGAGGGGGGCGGAGCAGAAGCCGGTGCCTGGGAGGAGCTAGTTTAAAAGCTGGCTCCCCATGAGCACCAGATCTGCCTGCCCCCTCCAACCTCCCCGACCCCACGCTGCTGCCTCTGAATGAGAGGCAGCAGCATGGAGGGTAAGGGGGTAGGGCTTGAGCCAATACACTCAGGCTTTCAAGTCAGCTCACCTTACATACAGGCTCCCGCAGACCCACCTGCCCCTCCTTTGCTGCCTTCTACACAGGCAGCAGGGAGAGGGGTGGAGACAAGAACTGGTGCTGGGAGGAGCCATTTTAAAAGCCCCCCCACACACTAGCTCTGTGGAGCTGCCTTAACCCCCCCTCCCCCCATACTGCTGTCTCAGAGGCAGCAGGGCAGCGTGTGGGGGGGGAAGAGACAGAAGGGGCAGGGGAGGCTGCTGCGAAGCAGCCTCTGTTCACGGGGGGTCTGAGCTCTCTGTGGACAGAGGCTTTTCTGGCGTGGGCCTGGGCCTGCTGCAGACAGAGGCTGCTTTGCGGCAGTAGCCCCTGTCTGCGGGGGGTCCGAGCTCCCCGTGGTCAGGAGTTGCTGTGCAGCAGCCTCCCCTGCCTCCACCACTCCCCCATGCTGCTGCCTGTGTCCGTGGGGAGCTCGGATCCCCCGCGGACAGGAGCTGCTGTCACCCCGCATTGTTGTCCCTGTATCAGAGGCAGCAGCGCAGGGTGGCAGGCAGCTAATGTGTGCAGGAAGCTGGTTTTTAAACTGGCTCTGATACAGAGGCAGCAATGCAGGGCCGTCTGGCGTGGGCCTGGGCCTGCTGCAGACAGAGGCTGCTTTGCGGCAGTAGCCCCTGTCTGCGGGGGGTCCGAGCTCCCCGTGGTCAGGAGTTGCTGTGCAGCAGCCTCCCCTGCCTCCACCACTCCCCCATGCTGCTGCCTGTGTCCGTGGGGAGCTCGGATCCCCCGCGGACAGGAGCTGCTGTCACCCCGCATTGTTGTCCCTGTATCAGAGGCAGCAGCGCAGGGTGGCAGGCAGCTAATGTGTGCAGGAAGCTGGTTTTTAAACTGGCTCTGATACAGAGGCAGCAATGCAGGGCTGCAGGGGGCTCACCAGGGGTGGCGCCGGGAGAGCACTGGTTGCCAGGTCCACCTCGGGGACTATCAAATAGTTGTGTAACTGCTAAGATTTCATGTGGTTACACGACTATGCAATTACACACTAGCTCACATCCCTACTGGAATAGGAGTTGGGGGTGGAGGAACATTGGATCAAAAAAAAAGCAACAATATGTGATCTTGTAATTGTATCACAAGCTCCCATGCTTGCTGAAAATTGGCTTATGAATATGAACACGCGTAACTCAAAGACACTTTATGCAAAACAGGTCATGTAACTTATTGTTCAAGAGACTGGGATCCCCTGAATGTGTACATTTTATCTTTCTTGTATGTGAAGTTAGAAATGTTAAGTGAGAACCTGTTTTATTAATCCGGATATTCCAGTAAAAGCCATTTGTGACACTTTAGGAACTTGATGGCTCAGTGATCAAGTCAATTACATGTGAATAGTTTTGTTTTTCCTTAAAAAACAATGGTCCTGTAACACTTTAGAGACTAACAAAAATACATAAATAGTATCATGAGCTTTCATGGGGACAACCCACTTCTTCGGTTGACACATATGAAGCCAGAGGCACAGCGTTTGAAATATAAAGCAGAAAAAGAGGGAGGAAGAGGAGAAAGAAAGGAAAAACCCTGTCAATTAAAGGGTCCACGCTAAATGAGGCAGTGCAGCACAGTGGGCCTGGCCTAGCCAGGCTGGAGCAGCCCCTGTGATGTGAGTGGGAGGCTGCTGCAGCTTGGTTAGGCCGACTGTGCCAAAGGTTGCTTTGGCCAGGTTGGGTTGAGCCCACTGTGCTATGGGCTGCTCCAGTCCATCCGGGCCCACGGCACAATGGGCCTTGGCCGGCCGCTGGTTAACCACTTATGTAGTAAGCATCATCTGGTAAGTGTGGTGCTTACCGGTTAACCCTTTACCTCCCTGCCAGCAGATCTCTGCCCATAGATTCTTCACTGCCCAGCAGCCCTCACATGGACACACTACAACTTCCTCAGAGCCCCACACAGACCACCCACTGCCCAGTGCCCCAACACACACAGTCCCTCCTGCCCCGTACTGCCCAGTACCCAACCCACACAGTGCTTCCCCACCCCCACTGCCTAGCATCCCAATACATACAACCCTCCCTCACACCCCACAATGCCCCTACTGCCTGGAGCTTCCCCACAAACTTCCCCAGAGACTCTCCCTAAGCCCTGTCCCCTGACTGTGCTCATTGAACCCACCGGGAGGTGACTGACTGCCAGGCTGAGCGAGGAGCACTCCAGCAGGGCTGTATGGGTCCATCTACCCTTCAGCCAGTCTTGCCCCGGCTGGGACCCAGGAGCAGCAACGTTTGATTTTTAGGGACTCGTAGAATACTGGCAGCCCTCAGCATGTGCTTACTGTGTCAAATGGTCCTTGGCCCTTTTGCAGAAAAGGCCAACAGTGATACCAGTCACTGCTTACTGTGATGATGGGTTTCCAGAAGGGACGCTTGCCATCTCAAGTGGGGGCTGGAGCAAGACCCCCATTATCTCTCTCTATGTATACAAAAGTTTTTACTGCCAGGTGGCAGAATGACATCATCATGCTCTCACGCTCTCTGGCCGTGAAAACTGCCAAAGAGAGCAGGGCTGGTGAGTTTAGTGAGCATCGGGTGTAGCCGCTTAGTATCTCAGGGTATGTCTACACTAGCCACCCTAGTTCGAACTAGGGTGGCTAATGTAGTCATTCGAACTTGCAAATGAAGCCCGGGATTTAAATATCCTGGGCTTCATTTGCATGCTCCCGGGCGCCGCCATTTTTAAATGCCCCGTAGTTCGAACTACCTGCTGTGGCTACATGCGGCACTGAGGAGTAACAGTATCTGCAATGAGGAGTAACGGTAATTCGAATTAGGAGCTTTAATTCGAACTATCTAGCCCATGCCACGTGTAGCTGCGGGCAAGTAGTTCGAACTACGGGGCATTTAAAAATGGCGGCGCCCGGGAGCATGCAAATGAAGCCCAGGATATTTAAATCCCGGGCTTCATTTGCAAGTTCGAATGACTACATTAGCCCCCCTAGTTCGAACTAGGGTGGCTAGTGTAGACATACCCTCATAAAGGTTACTATGTAAGCACCAAATGTTAGTAGCTAAAAGGTATTTGGATTACCACCCTTTCAGGTTTCTTGGATTTTTAACCAGATAATCTGTTTCCCATAAGCACTCTGATGAGGGAATGGGTCCCAAACACATTGCTGTCTTTGGGAAAATATCATCACACTGCAATGTAAGTGATGTCTGAATTAGTTCGATTAACCTCCAAAAATGTGATGACCAGTCTCGACTTATGTGCATGCAGACCAGCGACTTAGAGGTGAAAGACTCTTTGTGTTTCCATTGGGCCAATCACCATACTCTCTAGGTACACCCTTTTACCAGTCTCTCGAGTGCCTCAACCCCCTTTTGTCTGCCTCTTAATTTAAGGACAATTTGCTGGTTTGCTTACCCCATTTTCTTCTAGTGCTGCCAAGGGTTTATTAATGCTGTTGACAAATTTGTTGACATGCTCAAAGTGCTTTGTCATTTCTGTTGCGAGGACCATGTCAATAATGGCTTGGCGAAGGGTTCGATATTCATTCCTGTTCAAAGAAGGAAACAATTAGACAGGAGGGTTTGTTCACTAAGACTTGCTTAAACTAATTAAATACTATAAAGCACTGGTGTTCCAGAGTCAGGTCAGGGAAGGGAAAAAGAGAGAAGGGAGCTGGGAGGCAGACTCTATCCACGGGTGGGGAAACTTAGGCCCAGGGGCCGGATGCGGCCCCCGGCTTGTCTGGATCTGGCCCCCAAGGTTCAGAGCTCTCCCCTAGCATTGGAGAGCCCACTCTGGCGCTCCAGCTCCCCCACTGTCCCACCATAGGGCTGGAGCACACAAAATCCATTCGCCTGAGCCCCCGTAGGCTCTGCTGTGCAAGGGGAATATGAAGAGTGTTTTTCTCCTTCTTAGTCTGGGACCACATCAGTGAACATTTGGTTTTTCTTTTTGCTTCTCACTTGTGTGCAGAGCCCGACTGATTTTTCTGTGAGTCAGTGATCCCTGACCCAAAAATGGTTCCCTGCCCCGATGCTATACAACCACACTCCTTTTGTACAGTGGTGCACAGAGAATTATACCCTAGGGACACAGTTTTGTGTCTCTAAGAACTGCACATGCTGGATGGGAAAGGAGATGCCAACTCCTCAGCAGTGCAGCCTAGAGACACTATGTCGGCACATGCCTCCTGTAGTTAGGAGGATTTACTGCCGTGGTGTCCTCACAGGTCTCTGGCTCCATCAATGATAACCAGAAGGCTGTTTGTGTGTGTGCTCAATGATGTGGGCCCAATGACCACAGCAAACCCTGAGAGGGCCCCCAAAGACCACAGACCAGATAAGGATGGAAGGTGCCAGGCCAGGTTTATGGTTAAGCAAAGGACAGTAACAGTTGTCAGTAGACTCTACTGAACCACTACGCATATGTACTTGCCACAATGGAATGACTCAATCAGTGGGAAATTTTCACTGCCCCTTAGGTCATATAAAGACTGTTCCCCCCCAAGACACCACTTTATATACAAGTACAAACAAATCACACTTCACTGCTGATGTATCAGGTTGCCACCCTCTGACGTTGTCAGGTTACCACCCTCTGATGCCACTTAGATATCACCCATCACCCAGTACCTCGTGGTTTGATTAGATCATTTCTATCCATCCTGCTGTCATTTTAGACCCTTTTCTGAACCTGGGTCTGTATCTGTGAGGAGTGGGTACCAAGGTCTTTTTTAATGAGCTGGTGGTACCATATGATTTCAACTTATGACCAGTACCAATTATTGTTCTGCACCTGGGCCTATTACCAATTAGTGTTTTGTACTCTCAGCCCTGTTTGTGCCAAGTTCTGTCAGCAGAGGCCTGCCTCTTGCTCACAGCTTAGCTTTGCTTTATGGTAGCCATATTTGTCCATTGTAAGCTAGGCCTCAGGCCTCAGACCAGGCCTGTGCTTCATGGGCTTATGTTTTAGGCCTTCATCTTACTACACCTCCCATAGTGCTCTGGCAGCTCACGTTGAGAAGGTCTTGCGCCAGCCACGCTTCCCCCATCACATTCTTGCTAACACAGCTGGGTGAATAGGGAGGGTGGAGCTACAGTCATGCTCCCACCCCAAACTGCAGAAGCCTCTCCCTTTAGCCATCAGCCCAGTCATATTACATGGGCCAACTTATCTGGTGCACAGTCAGCCATTGCGTGGGCCTAGATGACTAATGATATAAAATGGGTTTGTAAAAGGGGCACTGATTTGTAAAAGGGGCACCAGTTTACAAGCGAGCAAGTTTGGCCTGATTTTCAGGCTATAAAACCAGCAAAGGTGCTCATGTCGAGAGTTACATTGTAAGCTTCTTGTTTTGTGTTTGCGCAGCGCCTAGGACAGTGGGGTGTTGGCCCTGGCCTAGGGCTCCTATGCTGTATGGCAATACAAATCATCATCAACATTATCATTTAGATCTGTGCTGTCGAACCAGGTCTGAAGCAGTAGCCACTATAGGGGCCACTGCTATAGCGAGCTAGCCATACTCAACTGGCCAAATCGTCATATGTGGCTAGTGGCTAGCATGTCGGATACCACGGATTTAGATGTTGGCATTCTCTGCAGTATGAGAGAAATCTCTATGGTTTCATGAGCAAACCTACCGAGTGGCTAACTCCACTCCACCAAAAGTTGTGATTTTCCTGTGGTGTGCTTACTGGCAGTTCTTTATGTAAGATATGCAGTCAGAATATTGTGGCTAATGGACTGATAAATGTCCCAACTTTTCAACTCACCTCTCCATGTTTTTAAAGATATTGCATTTATCGTCCCGCGTGGTGAGCTGGAAAGCCAGTGCAGCATGATGGCTCTCTAGCACTGCGGTGTCATTGTACAAGATTGCTAGTTCACTCCCAGCGTTGCACAGGAAAGAGTTTGTTCTTCCTGGGTGATCCACATCATGGACAGTGGCAGCAATGAGAGCAGCAACCTCATCAATTGGATCCAGAGTTTGCTGGAAAGAAAAGTCAGGGACATTTAGATCTCCTGGAAAAATCACCAGAAACCCTGCCCTGGTCCTTAAAGATTAAACTGAGCTGCTTAGTTAACAAAACTGGCCAGGCTGTCACTGCTCAAATACATGTGGTATCTCCTTTGCTTTTGTTTATAACAAGTTTTCTGTTCTCATATACCTACAGATGAATTTAAAAAAAAAACTCTTGAAAAATGGAAAGGCAGTCAAACAGCTTTGACGCTGGAATGATTCCAGATCACATCTGTTTGTCATAGATATTCATGGGAAGGCTACCAAAGCCTTGGCAACTTGAGGATTGAAAACTTCCAGTGAAATTCTCCCTCCTCCTGAGACATGGCCTCTGGAGAGTAGGATAATGAGCTGCAGCACCAGGTTAGAATACACACACCAGTTTTAATGAGAGGTTAGAAACTTGTTTACAATCACAAATGATGTCCCCTTTGAGCAAGGGTCTACCACTAGCAGTAGCTCAGAGACCAATTCAGGATAGGAAGTTTGGTCCACAGCTGGGGCAGAAAAGCACCCAATGCCACTCCAGGGCATAAATAGGTAAGCGTGGCTTTAGTTTACCTTTGCACTCCCCAGATCCCAGGCCTACTGTGTCCCAGTCTGTTCCCCATTATATTTTAGAGCAGTTCTCATTTAGAGCCGCCAATGGCCCTGTAAAAGAGTCCCTCACCGCAGAAGCATCGCTGCTGGCTGATCATGGCATAGCAGTTGTCTCCCTGTAAGGTGCCCCTGCTGAGGGTGTCATGCAGGGCACCTCACCTGTCATTGCGGTGGTCTCTCTTCCTGCAACTTGGCCTTCCAGCCAGTTACACTTTAGTCCTTTTGGGAGTAACAAAAAGTCCAACCCAGGTTCTCGGCTTGTGTGCTCCACAGCCCTTAAAGCCCTTCTTATTCAGTGGCTGGTAGGGGAATGCAGGCCCACCCTCTATGCTGGGTTCCAGCCCAGGGTCCATATTGCTAGAAGCCAAGTTCTTCTTCCTCAGGCTTCCTGATGACTCGTTTTACTGCTTCCTACCTCTTCTGTTCTCCCAGAGAGTGACTGCTGCAAACATCCTGGCTTTATAATCATCAGCTCCTGCCCAACTGATTTCCATATTCAGTTAATCCTGCCTCTCCCTCCACTCACAACTAGGCTCCTCTGAGGCCCATAAAAGCCATAAAAGAAAATAGATGTATTTTCAGAGCCTGGGGAAAGGGAGTTACACACCTCATCTCAAGCCCCACTGGACCAATATGGTCACAGGAAATAAGGCAAGCCCACCTACGCTTCCTTTTTTGCTGCCCCACCACTGATGTGGGCAATAGTGAATGGCAGGTTTGGTGCTGAAGCTACTGTGCTTTTCCCATGACTCCTGGGTATCCCCTACATGGGGGTGATCCTTCTGGGAGTAGCAATGCCAGGTCCCAAGCTGCTTTGCTCTGGCGGTGGGGTGCAAAATAGCTGCCAGGCATGTCAATAAATGGGCTTTTATTTTAAAGACCTATTGGAGAGTATATTCCCAGTGAGAAAATGCTGCTCACCCATGTGACATTCACACTGCTAGGCTGACTGTCACAGTTTGTTTTTCTTTTAGAAAAAGGCTTTCTCTACCTCCTTCCAAGGACAGCCCAGCTCTGTGGTGCTGGAAATGACTAAAAGACATTTTTCTTATCTATCTCAGTTATAAATCAGCGCCTCCACTGGTGGAAATCAGCACATCTGCCTGGACTTCACAAGTGATTAACACCAGCTGAAGATCTGCCTCCATATATCAGCAATTAGGGTTGATTTCTGCTAATGTTCCCACCACTCATGGATTTTTCACCTTGACTGTATTTCTAATAAGCCAACACTTACCTTTACCCGTTCTTTGGACAAGAAATAGGCAGTGGCATGCAGGACATCTGCAGAATGAGTAGAATTATGATAGGAGTTGGAGGAATGGTAATTGGCTTCAATAACTTGTAACCACGACCTCAGGGTTGATTCTGAGCAGTTTAGGAATTCACAGATTCCAAAGCGAGCAAACATTTTGAGACCAAGATAAACCAGAGGCCTGGAGAGAAAAACAAACAAAAAGTCTTAGAACAAACGAGTTAGAAGGAAAACTAGACAGAGCCAATGAGACCAGCAGAGACAGCATTCTACGCTGTTGAGATGTCAGATGAAGTACAACAGTTCAACTGGTCATAGAAATATACTCAAGATTTATAAAAAGCTTCCACCTAAGAACAATTTCTGGATCTGATACTTCTGGAAGCAGGTGTGTCACATGCCCTGTGGGGGAAGGACAGGGAAGGGAGCAGAGCGAGGATGCCCAACTTCAGCAATTAAAATCTAGAAGGGTAGGTATATGGCTTATCTAGGGGAGCACATGTCCCTTCTGCCCCCTCCTGGTGTCACTTATGTCTGGAAGTTCCTGAGAATTATTCAAATACTAAACAGGTTCTATCATCCTGGCAAATCCGTTTGCAATTTTTTTTGTAAGGCATTGTCAGTCTCTCTCAGGGCCTTGTGACCTCTGCCAGCCTATCTGTGAGACTCCACGGCTATATGGCTTATCTAGGGGAGCACATGTCCCTTCTGCCCCCTCCTGGTGTCACTTATGTCTGGAAGTTCCTGAGAATTATTCAAATACTAAACAGGTTCTATCATCCTGGCAAATCCGTTTGCAATTTTTTTTGTAAGGCATTGTCAGTCTCTCTCAGGGCCTTGTGACCTCTGCCAGCCTATCTGTGAGACTCCACGGCTACTGCTCCCTGCTGAGGGCGAAGAGAACACTACTCACTGCCCTCCAGTCTACATTCATGTTGTTCGTCAAATACCCTACCACTGCTGCATCAGTGTTACAGCTCCACCAGAGGGCGGGCTAACGCACACCCTTGTCCTTTGTCCCTTGCTTCTATTTGGGTATGTCTACACAGCAAAGTTATTTCGAAATAACAGCCCTTATTTCGAAATAACTTTCCTAGCCTCTACACAGCCAAACTGCTGTTTCAAAATAAATTCAAAATAGCGGAGGCGCTTATTTTGAATTTGGTAAACTTCATTCTACAAGGAATAACACCAAATTCGAAATCGCTATTTCAAAGTAAGTGCTGTGTAGACACTTATTTTGAAATAGGGGGCCTCCAGCCTTCCCAGGGTGCCCTGGTGGCCACTCTGGCCTCAACCAAGAACACTCCTCTCCCTCCCTGGAGCCCTTAAAGGGGTAGACTCTGGCCACAGTGCTTGTGCCAGATCCAAGCCTGCCAGCCCAGAGTCAGCAGTCACTGCCCCGACCCAGTGGCCCCAAAACATGAGCCAGCAAGCCACTGGCAGACAGCCCTCCACTGCTTTCCAGGAACAGTCTGCCAGCTCCCAGGAGCCTGCCAGAGCCCGGAGAAGGCGGGTGTTTTCCTGATCCAGGGTGGAGATCATGGACCTTATTCAGGATTGGGGAGGATGCCCCCAACGTCCATGACTTCCAGCCTGGCCACCAAAGGCCTCATGCGAACCCAGGAGCAGGTTTGCATGAAAATCAAGTTGGTCCGGCGAGACCCCCCAACCCTGAGCCCTGAGCTTCCCCTCCCACTTCTTCCCCTTGCTTCCCCCTTCCAGCTCCCTCCTCCCAGGTTTCCCCCTCCCCTCTCTCCTCTCTCATCCTCCCTCCTTTCCCCAGTCTCACCAGAGTTTCATTCCCCACCCCCCACCTGTTTTGTTAAATAAGGAGAGTTTGTGTTCATGAAAATAGATGTATTTTATTTGACATCAGGAAGGGGGGCGAGCCCCCTCCCCCCGCCATGCTGGGAGACAGTTGGCCTGGTGAGGCCCCCACCCCTGAGCTTCCCCTCCCCCTTGTTCCCCTTACTTTCCCCTTCCAGCTCCCTCCTCCCAGTTTTCCCCCTCCTCTCTCCCACCCTCTCTCCTCTCCTCTCCCACCTCCTTTCCCCAGTCTCCCCAGAGTTTCATCCCCACTCCCCAGTTTTGTTAAATAAAGAGAGTTTATATTTTTGAAAATATTTGTATTTTATTTGACATCAGGAAGGAGGGCTGGGGGGGTAAGTGGAAGGCAGACAAGCAAGCAGGGACACCTGAGAACCGGCTGCCCGGGGGGGGGGGGGGTCCCTTTAAGCACAGACCTCAGATCGCCTCAGGCAGCAGCCCCACACAGTAAGTCTGACCTGATGCCCTGCTGGAACTGGTTCCAGCCAGCCTTAAATGCGATTCAGAGTCTGCTCAGTGTGGACGCGCTATTTCGAAATAGCAAAAAGCTATTTCAAAATGCATTTTGTGTGTAGATGCATTATTTCAAAATAAGCTATTTCAAAAGAATACTGTAGTGTAGACATATCCTTTGACTCCCACTCTTGCTAATGTTGGTTGAGCTACAGCAGTGGTAGTGCAAAGGTGGGATATTCAGGGTGCATCTACACAGCACCCCAAACTCGAAATAAGATACGCAGTTTGCGCTACACAAATTATGTACCTAATTTCAAATCTATGTAAATAAAGCTTATTTTGAAATTTGGAACATCTACACAGCCTCACATTTCGAAATAATGCGAGGCTTGTGTAGATGTGGGGTAGCTATTTCAGGATATATCCGGTATCCCAAAATAGCTGTGCAGTGTAGACGTACCCTTGGAGGGAAAAATATGTAGAGACTAAAACTAAAAACTACAATGCAGACGAGGTCAGGAAGCAACAGCTGGAATGTAGGAATCAAGTCTCATATTGTACTAGAGAACAAAAAACACAGCCTGGAATAACATTTAATCCCAAAACAGAAAGCATGCAATATTTTTGCTCCGACAGAGAGGAAATATTAGTATACAAGGGAATAGGCTATTCAGGAAGGACAGGCAGGGAACAAAGAGAGGAGGTGCTGCATTATACATCAAGAATATATGCTTGTTTTCTGAGGTCCAGAAGATGGTGAGAGGCAAACTGGTTGAAATTCTTAGGGAAAATATTACAAAAAGGAAAGGAAATAATAATGACATCACAATAGGGGTCTATTATAGATCATCAAATCAAGAAGAGGAGGTATATGAAGACTTTCTAGGACAAAGAGCCAAAACACAAGGTTGTATAGTAATGGGGATATTTAACTACCTAGATGGCTGTTGAAAAAATAATATGGCAAAATATGACATTTCCACTAAGTTCTTGGACTGTATCAGGGACACATTTTGTTTCAGAAAATGGAGGAAGAAACCAGGACAGATATTTGAAGGTTCATTCTGACCACCAAAGAGGAACTGGTTGTGAATTTCAAGGGGAAAGGGATTCTGGGTGAAAGTGGGCATGAAAAGATAGCTTTCATGATTCTAAGCAAAGAAGGAGTAAGAGCAGCAGAATACAAACAATAGCAGACTTCAAAAAGCAGGCTTTAATGAGTGCAGAGGACTGGTAAGTGAGGTCCTATGGACAGAAAATCTAAGGGATAAAAGAGTTCAAGAGAACTGGCAGTTTCCCAAGGACACAGTATTAAAGACACAACTACAAACTATCCAATCTGACAGAAGGACAGGAAGAACATTAACAGACCAACATGGCTCCATTAGGAGTCCTTTAAATGAACTGAAAAAAAAAAGATTCCTACAAAAATGGAAATATGGACTAATAGCTAAGGAGGAGTTCAAAAGAATAGTACAAGCATGTAGGGACAAAATCCAAAAGATTAAGACACAAAATGGCAAGGGACATAAAAGGTTCTAACAAGAAGTTCTTTAAATATATCAGGAGCAGGAGAAAGATGAAGCAAAGTGTAGGTCTTCTGCCTAGCAGAGAAGGAAAACCAGTAACTGATTACATCAAAAAGGCAAGGATGTTTAATGTCTATTTTGCTTCTGTCTTCACTAAAAAAAGATAAATGATGATCAGATACCCAACAGAATTAATATTAACAAAGGGAAGGGACACAAGGCAAAATAGCGAAAGGACAGATTAAAGACCATTTCAATAAGGTAAATATATTCCAATTGGCAGCATCTTATGAAATTCATCCTAAGGTACTTAAAAAACAAGCTGAAGCAATCTTAGCACCATTAAAAAACTACATTCAAGAACTCATGGAGGACAGGTGAAGTCTCAGAGGACTGGAGAAGGGCTAACATGGGACTTATTTAAAAGGGGTATAAAGGGGACAAGGAGAATTTTAGATCTGTTAGTCTAACTTTGATACCTGGAGAGGTATTCGAAGAAGTTATTAAACGATCATTTGTAAGCACTTAGCCCATTTACCACTGTGTGCTACATATTCATCTCTCTGTGTTATGTGGGCCATATAGACACTATATATAAGGTTTAGTATTTGTTATCTGGCAATAATATGATTCAAAGCCACATAACACCTTTCATCCCAACACTGGCAAATGTCTACCATGAGCATTTGAAATTGGCAAAATAAGCCAAAACATTAACATCAATTTATTGTCAGGGTAGCATGGCATGGGGTATTGACACTGTCAGTTCCATGCCGCTGCCGTTGGTGCAGCTGGGCTAAGTGCCCAGACAGCACGGCTGAAAAACCTACCTGCAAAGATGGGGAGCTCTGCCCAGTGTGCGGTGTGTTCCCCAGCCAAGGGATGCACCCCCATATACCCAGCTGCCCCTGCACTCGGGCTGTTCCCCAGCCCTTCACCAGACCTCACCCCAGCCAGGGACAATGTTTGACCAGAGCAGGGCAGGACAATCCCCCCCCCCAGGAACTGCTCCCAATGCACCCAGCTTCCCACTTAGGGACTGCCCCCCAGTGTCCAGTCTCCCCAAGGAGTGCTCCCCAGCACTCAGCCCTCCTATCCAGCTAGTGTGCCCTAGTTTCTAGCCCCAACCCATCCAAATCCCTTGCATTTGCTGTGGTGCTGGGAGCACCTTTCCCAGGGTATGTCTACACTACCCCGCTAGTTCGAACTAGCGGGGTAATGTATGCATACCGCACTTGCTAATGAAGCCCGGGATTTGAATTTCCCGGGCTTCATTAGCAAAAGCGGGGAGCTGCCATTTTTAAATGAACCCCGTGCAGCGCGGCTACACGGGGCTCGAACTAGGTAGTTCGGACTAGGTTCCTATTCTGAACTACCGTTACTCCTCGTGAAACGAGGTGTACCGGTAGTTCGGAATAGGCACCCTAGTCCGAACTACCTAGTTCGAGCCCCGTGTAGCCGCGCTGCACGGGGTTCGAAGCAGCGGGGATTTAAAAATGGCGGCTCCCCGCTTATGCTAATGAAGCCCGGGAAATTCAGATCCCGGGCTTCATTAGCAAGTGCGGTATGCCTACATTACCCTCCTAGTTCGAACTACCCCCAGACGTGAAGACATTCTCTCTCTCTCACCAACAGAAGTTGTTCCAATAAACGATATTGTCTCACCCACCTTACCTTTAGGTAGGTGTGTTTGAAAGCTTTGGTCTGCTTAAATCCTGCCACCATAACATGCTAGAACATCTGGCCTTCAAACCAAACTGTCCTCACGTGTGGAAGCAAGGACAGTGTCATTACTATGTTGCATTAGTAGGCAAAATTCTCACTGTGCTTCTGTATCAGGGAACTGACATCTCACAGCACTGTGTTTAGATTTAATGAGCTTTTTATCTTGGCGCCACTTCCATATGACTACTTGGACTTGAAAAGAGCACTAATAACTTATTCACACTGTGAGTCACAGAACGCTTATTGGAATTTCTTTAACAAATGGTTAGTTTTTATTTAAACCTAGAAAGGACATGAAAGAACATGTGAGAGATCTAAATTATAATTCTTTTAATTAGAGAAAACTACAAGCTATCCGCTTTTGCCTCTTCCCAACAGAAGCACAGAAATTATCTAGTTAGCCTAGCCATATTGACTGTGATATAATAAACTCTTCATGTACTGAAAAATTTTCATTTAACATAATAATTCACATGGACTAACTACCATTTTTATAGGTAATCTCTTTACTTATGGGAACATGAGGCAGAAAAAAGGCATAACATTTTTGGAGATAAGTTTCTCCATTTGCAATAAAATCTAAAGTTAGAATGTCATTTTAAGGGATAATAAAAATCAGATTACTTCCAAATGTATAAGTTTGTTTTTGGAGGGGTTCTTTGGGAGGGGGAGTTTTGTTGTGATGTGTTTTTTGGGATTTTTGTGTGTGGTTTATGCAGCAAAGAACTCAAATAAAACTGGGTAAATGGCAATATGAATTCCTTGGCATCTTGCTTACAAATGGTTTTGATCTATTCAAAGCTATTAAGGATCAGAGCCTGAGTTAATCAGTATTTTTGCAGGATCTGACCTGTAAATTATGATTTTGTAGAATAAAAAAGTATATCAGAAGAAACACAGAACAGATGTAACAGATTTCCAAAAGTATATTTCACCTTTAGGCCAAGACAAAGCATGGAAAATTTCAACCCCGAATGAAATTTTAACAGGTATCAATGAATAAAAACAGGAATTTATAATGGAGTTATAGAGTTATTTATGGCATTTGCTGCTACTGAAGTATATTAGAGTCTGTTACAATTTCTGGTCTACATCAATGCAATAACAGATAAGAATTCTGTACATTGCAGTGTGAACAGACGTGTAATCTGTTGAGTTTATAGAACTGGACCCTTCTACTCTCATCTGAAATCAATGTTTTAGAAATAAATACACTCTGTCTACAAGTAGCAGAACGAAAGATGTGATCTATCAAGCCTTACTGTAAGCTCAGTAAATTGACAACTCAAGTTTTGTGGCTGAAAATCGATGTAAATTGGATCCCCAGAATCCAACAGCCAGATTTGTCAAGATTTTCTTTTAATGAGAAAAGCAAGGGAAGGCTTTCAAAATGACAGTGCATTTTTCTTTGCCACACTGAAAGATATATGAAAGCTTTAGATGCAGCCAATATTTCTTTGTAGAAATCAGCAGAAAACAAATTTGTGCCAATGCAGAAAGTACTTAAAAGTAAGAGAAGCAAGTAAAAACGCAAGAAACATGGACAAATGAGGAAGTTACACATCCTTTTTGCAAAAAGGGATTCCAAATTGAAAAGGAGAGATATTGAAATTGAAATGCTGAGTATGATGATAAAGCAGCACCAAATTCTCGATAGATTTAACTTACAATTCAATTGCCTTACTAACCTTTTATGAGTTGCAGCCTCCAGTTCAAAGATATTGAAGTCCCAGTATTCTTCATTTTCCATTGCTTGTGCTATCCGTGGTGGGATGTCATTAAGGGAAATAGGGGAGATCAGACTGCCAGGAACCTGATGAGTTTCTGTCACGGCATATATTTGGGAAATAAAATTAATAAGCTTAATTTACCGCAATACCACTTTTACTTCTCTTCTCTGCAAAACCTTAAACATTCTTAGCAATTCCCCCACTGTTGTTTGCAATGTATTAGAAAATTGGATATGAATAAAAAAATTAAAAAGTCCTTGGAACATTTATCAAAACATTTACTATGTCTCTTAAATCTATTAGATGGCAATTTTTAGCATCCCCCAAAACTGCAAAGAGAAAACTTACGTTTTGCGGACAATATGTATTCGTTCCCTGATAATCTTCGTAAACCATCCTGTTAAATAAAAATTATCATCAGAAAAGGTCTCTCGTACTCTCTGTTCCAAATTCATAAGCACTGTATATGTTATCTACCATAGCACTGACTAATAGGCTTGACTATGTCCTATTTTATCCTTAGAGTTATCTTATCTTTCTCTGTCTTTGTTTATATCTAAATGTTTTTGCTATGCCTAGGCAAATGTTTCACCTTCTTGGTAAATCCTAATAGAAGGGAGATAGAAAGATACAGGTCACAAAATAAACTAGGTTCTAATCTGAGCAGTAATTTGTTAAGCCTAGGATTGTGGTTTGAGACAACATGTTCACAGCAAGAATTCTGCTTTATATGGGCTTTGAACATAAACATCTTAGAATGGGCTACCTGGACCATGGGTCTGGACTACCTGTAGAACAAGTGGTTGGGTCGCAGCAGGCAATAGCAGGAGTGTTGGCTCCACCCACCTCTCTCAATAGCCTCATTCAGCCGCTCTTTTGACTAGCTATTAGCTCAGGCCAATAACAATCTACAGTTGGGAAGGAGAAACCAGGGAGAAAACATGCCTCAGAGATATACCTGTGAGTCAATACCTCCCTGCTTTTATTCTGGGATGGTGCTTGAAGGCACAATCTTGCCCTTACTGGTTAAAATAAATAGAATTATGCATTTGATATTTACTCTTAAAGGTATCAGTCTAAATATTGGACCAATTTTGCTTGCTTCACAGATGAGAGCGGGATTTAGCCCAACATCTTTTAGATGCAGTAAATTAATGTTAGCCTTGTATGTATAAACTAGTTGTTTAAAAAAAAACCTTTATAAACACACCCTTCTAACTTACTAATAACATTACATGTCTAGGGTACAGCAGAAGCAAATCTGCATGCCATATCAGACCTGTGTAATGTCTGCACTTTTAAGAATTATTACATCTAGTTTCTATTTTAAGATCTGTAAGTAAATTAGTCTGGAGTTTTGTGACTTATGGGAAAGGCTGTCCTGCTGTTAAAGCATGTTAAAAATTCTTCAACAGCACTGCTGTGACACAAGTATTCAGGACACCAGATGCAGTGTGTCCTCAAAAATAAAGGACTAGATTTTGTTACTGTTGAGATATCAGATCCAATGTCACCTGGCAAATCTATATTCGGATTCTGAATGCCCTCATGACACACAGAGATGCTCTCTTGTACATGAGATGGAATAATTTAATTCAATCTTCAGCTGATCCTTTGCTGAAGAAATGTTTCTTGTAGATCATTTGAAAAATCAATATATACTATACATTCACCCTCTGAAACTTCCCTTTCCCATTGCTTTGGAAAAGTAGTTTTTGTTCTATTTCCAGCAAGGATTTTGTGTATTACAGTGCCCGCCCTTTCTGTGACTCCTTTTGCCATGTGATCGTGGACTGACTTACGGGTTGTATGGGGTCAGAACACACACAGAGGTTGGTTCAGAGGGAATGAAGTGAGCAATGCATGCGTGACACTTAGCAATTCAGAGGGTAGATACAAAAGCCACTTAAGCTCTTGGCAAACTGGACAACTGCCTCAGGGTGGCAGCTGTATGGGAGAAGTGATTTTACATGGGGCTGCAGGCCAGACTACGTGCTAATGTGTGGGGCTCTAATGCCCCAGGAAGATCCTGCTGGCGCAAGTTACATATAGTCTGTTCAGGTCAAGGCAGCTGGGCTCAGAGGCCTTCATACACATGCACTACAGGAAAGCCAGACTATGGTGGGAAGAAACAGTGGGGAGCAGCCTCCTGTGTCTCCCTAGGCTTGGCAGGGGAAACGAGGGATTGGCTGGGAACCTGCAAAAGGACGTGAGACTGAACTGAGAGCATCCCTGCCTACCAACCTCCTGCAGGCATCCAGCATCCTTCCTCTGCCTCTCTCACAACCCCTGTCCCCACCTGACTCCTATAGGCATCACCCCCACCCTTCCCCAGAAGTTTAACTCTCTCTACCTCCCACATAACCTCTCCTGTCTGCATCATATGATGCAGTTTAGGATCCCAACTTTTGCACAGAACTTGAATACATATGCTTGGGTATTCTATAAAAAAATCAAGGGACCTGATCCTCTTTCCACTTGTAATGTGCACATCAGGAGTGATTCTATTCAATGGATGGAGTTACACTGAAGCTACACTGATCTAAACTGGAGTAAGGGAAAGGCAAATGCAGGCCCCAGCATTTATGTCAGCAATCATTTGCCATCATATGTACTCACAGTCATCAATCCTCCAACGAGATCACTTGTATGTGGATCTTCATCTTTCGTCCCAAGTTGTGGAGAGTATAACTCAGTGGTTCTTAGAATCTCCAATACTCGATCTAAAGCTTCTGCGACTGGCATGGGACTGCTTTCTTGTGCCGCATTGATAATATTTATTACCTACGTTGAGACAAGAAATTCTTGAAATTTAGAAACGAGTAAAGAAAAGAAAGATCCTCAGAGACTAATATGAGACATCCTAACGACAAAACACATCAGTGTTTAATCCAGATCAGGCTGAACTACAGGGAACTCTCTTGGGGATCGATAATGAAACACCGAGGGCTTGTTACTTACTTTGGGACCATGAGCGAGGTTTTAAAGGCCCCTTCTTATTAAACAACTTCTTTGGCCAGAAGTATCTTCAGCTAGAGTCAGCATAATTCTCTTCTACCTTTATCAGATGGTCACTTTATTAAGAAACTGATATTTGTTGGTCCCTTAACTGTTTCCTTGAGACATATTACAACATAGCTGTTGAGTCTGTGAATGCTCCGGAATCTGCACACTGACAGAAAAAAGACCCAAAACTGGGTGCTCAGTTGGCAGCTGGAGGAGGAGCTTGAGGAAGAGCAGAGATCAGGGAGCAGCAGACAGGAGGGGGATTCAGAGGAGGGTTGAAATGGAGGCAGGAAGAGGTGGAGTGAGAGTGGGACCTCGTGAGAGGGGGTGGAGTGGAGACAGGAGGAAGCAGACTGAGGATGGGGCCTTCATACTGAGCACCTCTGAGGAAAAACAAATGTCAGAATCTATGCATCACAATGAATAAGGGAAATCCAGTCTCTTCCTTTGTGTGCCTCCAGGCAACATAACTAGGGTGATTGTACTAAACAAGAGGGGGCTGAATGTGGAAAGAGATGCAGAGGGTGCACCCCCCAAGTGGCTTGCAGATGGGACAGGCAGGGAACAGTATGGGCAGACAAAGGAGGATTGGGAACACAGCATTTGCCTCTTCATGCATTTCACCAGCCACTGTGTGGGAGATGGGAGAAAGGGAAAAAATGGTGGTAGGGCCAGCATACGTGTCTATAGCCATTGCATCTGGCCCAGCTACTCAGGCCAGGTGCAGTGCAGAAGGTTTCTGTAACAGTATTCCAGGAAAAAAATCCAGGTAAATTATCAGAAGGGTCTGATTGCCTGACATCACGAACACCTGCAATGGTGCATTATTACCTTGGTAATGGGTGCTTCAATAGTCATGGAATGTATCCTAGCCATGGAGGAGTGTCGCCGTTGGGAACTGCCTGTGCAGCAAACAAAGCAGAGTTAGCACCCTGGCTGAACAGACAAGGCACAACAAGAATTCCTCCTTTGCCACGCCTAGAACCACATGCATATGCACACTTGTCCTGCTGTGTCAATAGGGACACACACACAAATAGATGCATGCTGAATCACCAACACCACAGAACAGAGCTAAGTGACCATAATGGCCTAGCAACATAGCTGCTGTTTTTGCATGTTAAATATTTTATAAAATGTTCAGCCACAAATGTTCAGCACCATATGTATGTTGTCTGTGGGAGAGGGGCCTGTTACATGACAAGGGTGTAATGACAAGACACAGTGAGTCAGCCCATCAGCTGCTGTAAATTAGTGTAGGTTCTTGGAACTTAATGAAGTAATGATGAGCAACATGAGCTGGGGTTCTAGCCCATAACAACTGATGTCAGTAATCAGGGCTTGGAAAACATACATCTTTTGTGTCAATTAGCAATTTTTCTTCCTGGCAGCAAAGGCCAAACTAGGATATCTCATGTTTTGTTACCTGTAAGATGTGGCTACTTCTCTGCTATCCTTTGAGCTGAGCACATCTTCAGGATCAGAATCCATACTATTTTTGTAGCAGTGATCACCGTCTGGTGAAAAGTAGAAGTAAATCTGTTACTTCGAATTTTCACCAGACTTTGACTGTTGCCTAGAAAGTATGGATCCATGTTTTAATAGAAGTTTTATGAACACCAGCAAAACCCCAGAGTATGTGAACTACATACTAAGGTGAAGGGTGACATGCAATAGTGAAGCATAACTCCCTGAGGTGTGACACAACACAGTGCAAAGAAAACAAAAAACTAAAGAAATTTAACTTTGACTTTCGTGGAGAGAGTTGATAGGAAAACTACAACAACCGCCAATACTTTGGGGGCCCCTGAATCTGCGGCCTTTACTAATGATGAAGAATAACTTACTTTTTGAGTAGCTTTATTGAATTCCTTGGGATTACTCATGATGTTAAGTGCTACCCAATGTAAGTAAGGGCAGCAGAATCTTGCCTTTCATTTATAAGTTTTTCAAAGAAGTAGGATAAAGAATATTGTTCAGAGATAAAACACATGGGCTAGTTGCATAAATAAGACATCATTCATGGCTAGAGGGCTTTAAAAAGCCATGTGAAAAAATACATAAACATCCACTTATCTGACATACCATCACTTCCTCGTGAGGTTGTGGATCTGACATCGAGTGATCCTTTCCTCCTATCTTTGTGTCGGGAAGTTTGAATATCTGTGGAGACATCAGTGTTATACAATGACTGCAACAAAGGCTCTTCCCAGGTTATATGTTAAAGGAAACAAAACATAGGTAAGGCCTGATAACAGCAGAGCAACATGCATAATGTTGGAAAACATTGGACAACAGCTTCTTAGAACTGTTTTCACACTGGCCTTACCAGAGTATGCTCTCACGACATACTCTCTGAATGTTGCTTCTGCCTCAAGCAAAGACGCAAGAGTAAATGGCCTTTGTGTATGGGATCTAAGAGAATTTAGAGTCCTCCCTCAACCCACAGGCGTGGTGCAGAGAGGCAGTTCCACTACAACACTAAAGGTTCTAGAACTGTAGAAGTAGGAGTGGCCCCTGAATATCTCATATAGATCTAGGGAGACAAGCTGGGTGAGGTAGTATGTTGCACTGGACCAATGTCTATTGGTGAGAGAAACAAGCTCTTCATCACGTCCTGTGGGACTCCACTGTAGTGGAGCCACTGACCACTTCTCCTTCCCACCCTTACCAGCCCCTCAAACTCTGCATTGTCTTCGAGGCTATCCAACAGCATATTAGATGTTTTGGACTAGAGGCAGATAGCATTTGACTCTCAGACAAGATGGAATCTTCAGTAGACAAGAGTTCTTTGTTGTCTGAATATTCCACATCTTAGAAAATCACCATGAAGTGGCTTCATGAGAGTTGTTGAACTGTATAATTACTAATACTTAATAAGCCAACCCTGACACATGCCAGTGGTTCTCAGACTTTGGCCCCTGGCGTACCTGGCTCAATGCAAACCATTCCATGGACCACCAGTTGCTAATGGAAACTCTCTGTTAATTGCATAATTACACCTGAGCCATTTTGGTAATGCTGCAGCTAGGGAGAAGGGTTTAATTTAACCTGTAAGGAAATATTAATTTAAATAATTAACTAGATTAGTGTTTTAACATTCTCATGTTAGTTGATCAAACTTCATTTTAAATAAAGTAAAATATTAATTTATGCCCCACACAAAAAGTTCTCGTTTTCTTTATTTATGGTGGGCATGGGGAATCTTTTTTGGGTCAGGGACCACTGGCCAACAAAAAAAAATCAGTTGGGGACCACACAAGTGAGAAGCCAAAAAAAAAACAAACCCAAAACACAACTTCTCCAAAAATCCCCTGCCCTCATTCATGTGGCCCCCAAGTGAGACACTTCACTCCTCTGGCTCTCCAGCCCCACCGGGGGAGGGGGAAGGACAGGGAGGACTGAGGTTCAGGGCTTCCCATAAGCCAGATTAACTTTTCTGGGGTTCCAGGGTTAGTGGATTTTGTGGACCCCCCCCCCCCAAGGCTCTGGGGTTGGGAAAAACATGAAGGGTTCAGTATGTGGGACAGGGAGGCCAGCAAGAGGGATGGGGGTACAGGATCTGGGCAGGTGGAGGAGTGCAGGAGTGGTAAAGGTGCAAGGTCTGGGTGGGAAGTGGGGTACATGAGCAGGCTGGGAGTAGGGTGTCTGACCAGGTAGGAGGGAGAGGGAAGGAGCAGGCTGGAGGTAGGTGCCCAGCCAGGAGGGAGGGTGTGCCTGGGAGCCCATGCCGGTCCCAGGCACTACCTCTCATTGCTCCCATTGGGCAGATTCTGGCTAATGGGAGCAGCAGGGAAAGCCTCCAAGCAGTGTGCCCGAGCACTGTTGCTCCCCCAGCAGGGGAGGCGGTGCACTTTTTTCCTCCGAGTTGGATTGTGTAGTGAGGCTTGCCCCCCGCCCCTTCCCAGTGGGGGGCCCACACTGGTGCTCTAACCACTCCATGGAGGGAGGGTGAGGCTAGAGCACCAACGTGGGCTCCCTGCTGTGGGGAGAAGAGGGAGGGCTGAGCTCAAGCCACGGAACACCTGGGAGGTGGCTGCGGACCACTAGTGGTCCATGGACTGCAGTTTGAAAATCACTGACTTATGCTAAAGACATTAACTATTTAATCCTCAGAATAGCTTGTGGGGAGGAATTTGTTCTCCCTGTTTTAAATGAAAGGCCGAGACAGTTACTTAAGTCAACAGGGCAATTTCTGAGCTTGCTTAGGCCCCACAGTCCCATTGCATATATGTTAATTAGCACAGAAGATATTAACAGAAGGATAACTGAGGACAAAGTTTAGGCCGTTGCTTGTTTTTCTTAGTTTTAATTTCTTAGTTTCTAAGTGTTTGTCAGTGAGCGGAGATTGCTTATGGCAGGAGAAGGAGGCATTACTTCTGAGTACAACAGCAAGGCGCAGCCAGAGAGTCTCAGCCTAGGGGGGTAATGTATGCATACCGAACTTGCTAATGAAGCCCGGGATTTGAATTTCCCGGGCTTCATTAGCATAAAGCCAGCGCCGCCATTTTTAAAAGCCGGCTAGTGCGAACCCCGTGCCGCGCGGCTCCACGCGGCACGGACTAGATAGTTCGGATTAGGAAGCCTAATCCGAACTATCTAGTCCGTGCCGCGTGGAGCCGCGCGGCACGGGGTTCGCACTAGCCAGCTTTTAAAAATGGCGGCGCTGGCTTTATGCTAATGAAGCCCGGGATTTGAATTTCCCGGGCTTCATTAGCAAGTTCGGTATGCATACATTACCCCCCTAGCTCGAACTAGGGGGGTAGTGTAGACATACCCCTCAAGTGCCAATACTGGAGGGGCAAATCTCAGCACTGATGGGCAATGTGTGCCTGAAAACTGCCAAGCAGGAGAGAGCAGAGTGAAACAGCAAAATCATAAGTGGCTGCTTGTACAGAACTCCCTGGAGCATCCAGGTATTGTCAGGGGGCTGATAGACTTGCCAGGCCCCTGAGCAAGGTGGGGGGAGCGTGACAGCTTGCTCCTGGAAGGGGCGGGATTGGGGCAGCCAGCCCTCAAGTACTGCCTGGAGTGTGCCGCAGCCACCCTGTCAGGCCTTAGCAGCAGCGGCAGCTGGGAGCCCCGGGCCCTTTTGAATCACCAGGCCCTGGGGCAACTACCCTCTTTGCCTCTGTTGGCGGGTCTGGATATTGCTTTCTCATTGTCTCCCCACACTCTCCAATGGAAGATGGCCTCCAACAGAGGCACAGTGGGGGTCTGTTTCCACTACTTTTCTGTTTGTAACAGAAAAAATACATTGGTCCCTAAGATCTCCTGCTTCAGGTGGGAAGGAGCCTAGAGACAGGCTTGGTCTCCTATTTAAAAATACTGTTGCCTGCTGCAGCACTGGCCCCAGATCCTGAAGTAGCACTATTGGAAGTATTTGGGGGGCAAATCCTACTAGAATACTTTAATACTTTTTTAAAAAGGGAGGAGGGAGTTATCTGGGTTTTAATTTACATTAAATAAAAATGTAACTTAGAGTTCCCTAATGATAATTGTTCATAACATAAACAGATTGATTTGGGGGCTGAAATAATGCTGTAAATGCTGGAACTCTAAGGCTCAAAAAAACAAAGTGTTTTGCCATGAACTTCAATCAGGACAAATCCTTAGATGATGCAATCATCATCATATATCAATTCACGTGCAAATATCCCAAAATAGAAAAAGCAACAGATCTTTAATAAAACAGCAAAAGGAGCATGTCATGAATTATACTAGCCATGACGTAATTCCATCTAGACGGTGTCCTTGGCATTTCTAATCTAGTCCTAGAGATTGCATCAGCTGCATTGCTTATCACTGGAATGTGAAATAGAACCAAATGTGGTACCCACTCATGGTTCTAACATAGTCACATTCAATTTTCAAGGTTTGTCTGATCACTTCTGAAACAAATTTGCCAAGCACAGATAACTTGCATTTATTTAGTCTCCCCCAGGAATACCATTTTATTGCTATCTAAATATTGTTGTTTCCACTGCACTGTGCAACCCACGTTTTGAGTCTGATCAGAACGACCTATCTGATCTTTTCCTGCATAAATCCCACGATTCTTGTGACAAAAATGCAACAACATACCTGTTTGAGATTCGGCCTGAACACGTTCACATATTCTTTCTGCCTACAAATCAATATTAGAAATCCAGTTAATCAATTAACTGATCATGCTGTAATATTTTCTGCTTAAGCTAAAATGAACAAATCACCTTTTTTCTTACCTTATTGTTGTCACTGCACAGTCTACCAATTGACACATAGTGTCTAATCTTTCTGTAGGCAAAGAAACAATGTGTTACTGTCTCTGATTTCTAGCTCTAATTTACCTGTAGCAGCATTTTAAATTTATAAGATCCATACCAGCAATAAACCCATCCAGGACAAATCCTGCTCTTGCAGGGTATGGAACCAATGCAGTTCAGCTGCACTGGGATGCACGTGCTATAAAGCCATGATCTATGTGGGCTCCTTCTCTGCTGCTGCTGGGGGAAGTTTAGGTGTATGATGTGGCTGGTGCATCTGCAATGATGTAGGTCCAGACAGAAGATAACAGAGTTTGGGGTGGAGCAGTCACCTATGCTAGTATTAGGGATGTTAGAAATAGTTAATTTTTGTAATCATGTAGCCACAACAGTTTTTAACAATTACATGGTTACTAAAATGCTCCTTCTCCGGGGCGGGGCCAGCAGCCAGTGCTCTCCCGGCCCCACTCCTGAGGAGACCTCTGCCATCCCGGCTCTTGCCTGCTGCCTCTCATAGAGAGGCAGTAATGTAGGATGGTAGAAGTCCCTGTCCAGGGAGCACCTGGGTGCCCTGTGGACAAAGGCTGCTCTGTGGGATGCCAGAAACTAAGGCAGCAGCACAGGGCGGCACGTGGGAGCCCTTTTTTTAAACTGCCTCCCCGCAAGGACCGGCTGCCGCCTGCCACCCCATGCTGCTGCCTTTGTATCAGAGGCAGCAGCATGAGGTAGCAAGCAGCTCCTCCTGCATAATCTTCATTTAAAACTTGGACCAGTGGACTGGGACTGAGCCAGCCTGAATTGAAAATGTAGAGCATCTGGGTGGTGGGTAGGAGGGGATGTTGCGATTAACCGGACCATTAACTGACAAGCAATTGCTTACTGGATAAATAGTTAGCCGACTAGCCGCTGCCATCCCTAGCTAGTACCATCCTATGTGCATCCTGATTGCCATGACATTCCCTGTGCTGAGCACATTTGCTTGTACTCAGGTATTGTATACATGAGTATGGGCCCATCTTCCTTGCTTTGTATCACAGGCTACCCAATTCTTTTGCTCCACTGATGGAGAATAGAAAGCATGAGTTACTCCCAAGTGATGCCTATGAGCAGCGGGGTTTTCTGCCCTCACTTAAGTAACCTATAATGTTTGTTGGACAAGAAAGAAGTTTCATTCAGCCCTATCTCCGTGATAAAATAGATCAACCTGAGAGGGAAGGGACATATAAAAGGGGATTTCAAGAGGAACGTGTGCTCTTATATAACACCAAGCCAGTATTATTTTAAAGACTTTGCAGGTTTTCCATTGGCATCACCCGGGAAGAAGCATCACAACCAGCAAGTGATGATTATCAGTGGAGGAAATGGACTGCCTGATGGTTCAGTGGGATATGAGGAACTAACTAAGGTCTAAGGTGCATAGCTGGAAAATTCTCAGGAAGTTAAGGGACTGCTGCAATATATGCTAGCTGGTTCCCTTTTTTTGCTGAATTTGCATAGAGAGACTTAGCATACATGTCCTAATAATCAATATTTACCATTCTGCTCTAAACATACCAGTCAGTGGCCGAGAAGGGCAAGGAAAATGGGAGTTCTGGCTGAGTGCAGAATGTTATCTCCCTTTGAGTGAAATTCACCTGGGAAGGAAGTGTAAAGGAGCAACACAGAAGAAGCAGTTGCACTGCAGAACCAGTCTGTGGTGGGACACATGCAGCCCACTGGGGCTGTGCCTTTTGCGCATTGGGGCACTGGAGCCTCCACTTCCTACTCCTCCCCCTCTCTCTCAGCCCTTTTGGAATGCCACAAATCCACTGATTCGTGCTCCATCCACACTCTCCCTCCCTCCCTCCCTCCCTCCCTCCCTCCCTCCCAGAGCTGGAACATGGTGAATCAGCTGTTCACGACTGTTCAAGCTCTGAGAGATAGCGGGAAGAGCAGAGATGGGGCACAAATCAGGTGATCTGGGGTACACTGAAAGTGCTGGGAGGGAGGGGGAAGGATAGGAAGTGCAGGGCTCTAGTGCTCTAGTACATGAGAGGCCCATGGGGGAGGAGCAGACATAGAGGTCCGCAGGCTGCAGGTGGAACCCCAGTGGGCTGCGAGTTGCTGTGGCCCACTGAGATGGGGGAAAGACAACTCATGCGTCCCACTCATGTTTCTTCATTGCCCAGTGCTGTGGTACATCAACCTTGCATTGGTCAGCATGGATGGGAGGAGACAAAGGTGAGGCACAGACTCCAGGTTTATGTGGCTTCCTCCAAGGGCCTCAACACCAGGCACATTGGGACCACTCACCACTCCAGCCCACAGGGAAGCTTGGCTCTGCATCAAGGGTTGGATTCATTTCCTTTGCATACAGTGCACTTAGCTGAGCAGTATGGGTATGTCTACGCTACCCTCCTAGCTCGAACTAGGAGGGTAATGTAGGCATACCGCACTTGCAAATGAAGCCCGGGATTTGAATTTCCCGGGCTTCATTTGCATAAGCCGGGCGCCGCCATTTTTAAATCCCGGCTCGTTTGAACCCCGTGCTGCGCGGTTACACGCGGCACGGACTAGGTAGTTCGGACTAGGCTACCGTTACTCCTCATTCGAACGAATGAGGAGTAACGGTAGTTCGGACTAGGAAGCCTAGTCCGAACTACCTAGTCCGTGCCGCGTGTAGCCACGTGGCACGGGGTTCGAACGAGCCGGGATTTAAAAATGGCGGCGCCTGGCTTATGCAAATGAAGCCCGGGAAATTCAAATCCCGGGCTTCATTTGCAAGTGCGGTATGCCTACATTACCCTCCTAGTTCGAACTAGGAGGGTAGTGTAGACATACCTTATGAGAGTAAAGGAGATTTTACCATAAGGGCTTAAGTGGGTGGACAGACAGAGCCCTGCATGGATACAAAATGTGTATCTGTATCTGTATCTGTATCTGTATCTGTATCTGTATCTGTATCTGTATCTGTATCTGTATCTGTATCTGTATCTGTATCTGTATCTGTATCTGTATCTGTATCTGTATCTGTATCTGTATCTGTATCTGTATCTGTATCTGTATCTGTATCTGTATCTGTATCTGTATCTGTATCTGTATCTGTATCTGTATCTGTATCTGTATCTGTATCTGTATCTGTATCTGTATCTGTATCTGTATCTGTATCTGTATCTGTATCTGTATCTGTATCTGTATCTGTATCTGTATCTGTATCTGTATCTGTATCTGTATCTGTATCTGTATCTGTATCTGTATCTGTATCTGTATCTGTATCTGTATCTGTATCTGTATCTGTATCTGTATCTGTATCTGTATCTGTATCTGTATCTGTATCTGTATCTGTATCTGTATCTGTATCTGTATCTGTATCTGTATCTGTATCTGTATCTGTATCTGTAAATGAGCCATGGATATCCACAGCTGCTTCTGTGGATGCAGATATTCGTGGATAAGAAGAGGCGATCTGTGGATTTGTGGGGCTCTATGGATAGCTCTCACTGCAGACTGTGCAGGGATGAATTTCACTGAGAAAGTAATAGAGGCCTGATGGGAGACCCACTGTGCCCTACGGGCCCCAACATATTTGTTAAAGTGCCACTGGACTCCTTGTTGTTTTTGCTGAAACTGACTAACATGGCTACCCCCCTGAAACCTGAATCCAGTGGGAGTTTCTGGTTTCCCTGAACATTGCATCAGACCTCAATACATACTGACAAGGTACTTAACTTTTGCACTTACCCTCCCTGTCCAATGACAGGTATTATCTTCACATTTTGTTGTATGCTGTCTCCGTTTTTCTTTTTGGCATAATACATTCCTTGCCATTCCTGCAAGAGCAGTCCAAGGATAATGCCATTCAATTAAGAAATTTACAAATCTAAGGCTATTTTCTACACATTCCTCTTCCTTTATTACTGTCAAGGGAGCCAGGAAACAATAAAAAATAAATCTAAGTTTGATATATTTTCATTGAAATTTGCCTTGCAGTCCCACACCTAGATATTCATTCTTAGGGGCCTTAGAGGCTGTGAATGTGTCAGGGAAACATGGACCCAGAAAGAAGAATACGAAAGAAGAGGAACTGAAGACTAGAATTGTGGGTTCTTATTCCACGTACAAGTGACACATTCTTTTAGCTCATTGGAGAAATTATCCATCTCTCCAGAACATTCAGACAGCTGCTCTCTCTGCCCCAATATGTTATTCATAAAAAAATAGTAATTTAAATTCCAAAACCATTTCACACCATTTGAACCTGAATTTCAGAGACAGAAAACATGAGACATTTTCCTCCGTATACAGTAGTGCACTGACCAGCCAACTGGAGAGCTTTGGTTGATAGAGCCCAGAGGAGTCCAAATCTGGAGAGGTTGGAACATGTATACTTCTCGGGATCTGAAGTTAGCACTCTAGTTATAATAGATCCATGCATTTGGGGATTCAGGCTAATGGGTGAGTAGCGCTTGTTAGAAAATGCATGGCGTTTTTTTCTGCCAAAAATGTCAACTTTTTTTTTTTGAAAATCTAAAGACAGAAAAGCTTTTGGTTTTCAGAATTTGTCTTTTTCGATAGTCAATATTTTCTATGGAAAGCAGAAACTTCTAGGGACAGTTGCAGTTACTTGGAAACCCAATTTTCTGTAAAAAATAGCTTAGACCTAACATTTTTTGTTAGTTGTGGATATGATTTTAAAAATCTATTTTCCTTCCTGTTTTAAACCTATATTTTCAAAGGACATCCTATTTAAAATGTTTTTATTAATTGATTCTAAACCCAGAAGGGTCTGTTATCTGATCTCCTGTATAACAAGTGGCAGATTTCACCTAGTTACTATTATATTTAGATATCTAACACAACAATTAAAGCAGAGGCTGTGCTATGTATGTGGAATAGGAGAAACTCCACAAGTGACAATGGCACAAACACATGTGCATCACATATTTTCCCAGTAGGATTCTTTGTTCCCTCTCTGTAGTTTTCTTTAGTCTTCTCCCACAACCCTGTTCCTGTTCTGTCTGCTTTCTGTTCCACTGTTCACCTGACTTCTCTCCCTCTCTTCTCTTTTCGTTTCTTTTTTCTATAGCATATTGCAAAACCAATAACATGCAGTATGAAGCAGTCTGTTGACCCGCGATGTCTGAGTGAATTCAAAGACATACCCACAAGTTTATTCATCCTAGCATAAATTTAAAGAAAAGAAAAAGAGTCTGGAAAATCTGGATCCAAGAGCGCCAAATGATGAACAAAATGATTGCTTACTGTATATGGGCTTCATCCAGGCCCAATGAAGACACAGGGAGTCTTTCAGTTGTATGCATATGTGTATCTGTGTCAGTATGCACATAGTACATACATTTATCTTTATATCAGAGAGAAGCCAATAGATAGATGGACCAAGATGGCACATGTATAACTGCGGGTACGATTTGCCCTATATGCTAATGTAATTTGCATTGGGGAAAGAGAACCAACAAGGAAAGAATTCAGCATGCAACAGGACTGCATAATAACACAAAGGGGGTGGAGAGTGGGCAAGCAGATGAAGGGGAGGAATAAAAAAACCTGAAAGATTTTTCCATTTATCTGAGAAAAGAACTGTGCACAACAAATTGGGAATCAAGTATCATATCTTCTTCCATATGTTGCATGAGGAATACAAATGAGTAAGCAAACATTACATAGTTTGATGCTCTTGGAATTAAAATGATACACAGCAATAGTTCCCTGACAACCAGGATAAGGGAGAGATGAGTAATCAATCTCAAAACCCAGATAATAAGGTCAGAATATGCATAAAGAGATGAAGTCATAATGCACAGATTGAATAATTCTAGAGTTGCCTCCTGATCATGTCAGGATAGAAGTAGTCACTAATGGATTTGGTTTCATATTCAATAGGCAAATATTCACAGCTGTAATGTCTGAAAAAAAAACACAAGAAAACCTTGAAATGCAATGTGTGGAGGAGAAGGGTCAGAACAATTCTGGTCTAAGCCAAACACCACCCATTATGTAAAATTCTCACAAAGATATTACATAAACATATTTTAAGAACTCCATATGCTCTCTCCCAGAACTTCGCTCAGCTAGCTAAACAGAGAATATGAACATGCCTTCAACTGAGTCATCCTTACGAGTGAATTATAGTCCTAGAAATACAGTGCCACGGTCACTTCAGCGTGGCCTAATGTTCTGGTGTTAAAATAGAGACCGAGAGTGTCTGGTGCAAGCAGAAGAGAAAGAATCATTACTATAATCCTGCATATAATAATCTAATGCTTAATGCTACCTTTGGAAGCATGGGTTCACAGATACAGTAAGGCACCAAAGCTCATTGCAAAAATAAATGTCAAGCACAGCATCTTCCAAACGTAATCTGAGTACAGGGAAGGGCTGCTGAGTTTGGGGCTTTTTTCATATAGTATTGCACTCAGTGAGCACTCTTACACACTACTCATTTGCCTTAGGTAACTAAATAACTGTCCCTAGAGTCTGAGGGATATATATTCCTCTGCCAACTAACCTCCCAAGCGGTGAGAGAAATTAGGTGCCTTGTCGGAATTATCAGTAGACTTCTCATGAGGGCTGATACACTACTGCTTAAGTCAACATAACTTATTTTGCTCAAAGATGGGAAAAAGAGGTCTCTTTGAGTGACTTAAGTTATATCCACCTAAGCAATGTCGCTATGTCAGGAGAAGATGCTCTCCCACCAACATAGCTTCCACCCCTCACAGAAGTGGAGTAATTATGCTAAAAGGAGAGTGCTTGTCTGTTGACATAATGCATCTGCACAGCTGCGCCAATGTAGTGGTGTAGATTTGCCCTCTTTTTCTGAACAGTAAAACTATCTGAAAGATATGTTGTGTCTCAGATCACAGGGATCAGATGTAGCAAAACTTCTAGCCAGATGTGATCAGCTATTTCACCTCAATGGATTTCTCACACTGAGAACACACCTGTTGCTTTCTAATATCTTAAATTTGAAAAGAAGGAAAATGCCATTTGATAGTGCTGGTTTCTCGTGAGTATAGCCAGCATACATTAATCAAAGACATCTTTTTGCTTGGCTCCACACTATCCTTCCTGAGTATACTACATGGATTGTCCAAGTCTATTTGCTAAAGCAATCCCTTCCTTTGCTATGTAAAATGCCAATCAAATGCTATTTGCCAGTGCTGAACTTGGTCACAGATAAATGTTTCAATACAGAAATTAAAATGCTACAGGTGTGTATGAACAGGCATAGATCCATCTTGGATCAGTGTGTACAACTAAGCACTTAAAAAAAAATCCCTGGAACAGCTCTATCAAATTCTGGTTTGTTACTATATTTGTTATGACATTATGTAGTCTCAAATTGGGAAGGGTTAGTCTCATCACGAGATAAGGACTCCTACTGTGTGCTGGATGATCAGAAAACATCACTGCACAGTTTTTTGTCTGGGCTAGAGAAATTGTTTGGTATATTATAACCCAGTGTAATCAAGTTACAATGCCCACATATTTGGTTACTAACGGGAAGCAGTCTTTGTTCATTTGTACCAAGAAATCACAAACATGGAGGGACATAGATAAATCAGATCAGATTTATCTTGACACAACCAAAACTTTTTAGAGAATGTTATTCCTTCCAGAAGCAAGTTAGTTTCAAATTCTCCTGGAACAATTCAGTAAAAACACTTTCAAAGTACTGCAATCTTTGAAATGTTGAGCCACAAAGTAAAACTGCATTTGCAATTTTTTTCCCAAAGAACTCCTTTTGTGTTAACAGGTAAATTTCTACATTTTTATAATCTTTATAGATTACCAACTGCTAAGTGCCCCAAAGGCAAATAAGAAGACATATGGAACAAACACATAAGATTGACATTGAGGACAGTATAAGACCTTCCAGAAATGTACACTTTAAAGTTTAATATCTCACTAATTTTCACAGAGTAGTGTCTGGAAATCAGAGTACTAAAACATGAAAATCTTGACAGCTCCATACTTTGAGGAAAAAATTACTCAATATTTGGTTGTTTACTATGAATAGTCTAAAAATACTTTTCTGTTATTAGAGACATTTTTCATTACATTAAAATAATTGAAATTGTAATAATTGAATATCTTGAAAACTGGATGCTGTTGTCATGAGGCCCAATAGACTTAACTGATTTATAGTCTTAACTTAATGAACACCACATAATGGCATCAGACCTGTACCATGTGTTTTTCTTTGGATGCACCTTCACACAGGCAACAAACCTGTGAAGCGCCATCATTTCAGCCCTTGGATGTCTCTTGGATCTGTTCCAGCACCTCAGTCAACATCCAGATACTTGACAGTTTCATGTTCAGATGCACATTCCATCTATACAGAGACACATCATTGCCTTTCCAGATGAATACTCATGTTACTACTTTGACGTACACAGTGTGACTAATGACATCTTTGTGTTGGTGCCTTGATGCATTGATGCCTAGATGCACACAACACTAGTGATTAATTTTAGCATCTCACCACACTGTCAATAAGGTGGTGTTTCCCAGCAGACAACCAGTATGACCCAATTAGTTACCCTGACTCAGCCTTGTGCAGATGCCATGGCAAATCTTTGCAAATGCAGCTGATTCAGAAACTTCCTCATGTTACTGCTATGATCAGTGTCTCCTTATACAGGTACCATGACACATCTTTTCACTTGTCTCAGAGGGCATTTACACTTTGCTGTCAAGATGCAAGTGTCACCTCTGAGATATATTACCATGCACGCTCACTCAGTGCCACAACAAGAATGCAGTAAAAGGAACACTACAGTGCCATGAGACAGCCTGCAAAATCTGTTAACCTCCATATCTGCATTTTGAGGCTATTGGATTCCCCTTCATTTCCTTGATGCAACAAATATTTCTAATGGAAATCCACTAGAGAGTTCCTTGGTCATTAGAGAACGACAACTCTTGTGGAAGAAAAGGGCCTGGCAGTTGGAAGCTAACAGTGCTATCACCCTGGAGCAGAGGTGGGCAATAATTTTGGAAGGGGAGCTACTTCACAAATTTCAGAAGTGGTCACAGGCCACCCCAGAAGAGGCAGAGCCTCAGGCTGAAGGGGTGGGGTCAGCAGACTTCATATGCTCTCCCGCCCACAGACCCTGACTGGCCATTTTGAACAGCTGGTGGTTCCCTCTGGTGCCGTAAGCCCCGGTAGGAGAAGGAGACTTCACACACTCCCCCATCCACCGGTCTTGATTTGGCCTGGGGGCGGGGAAGTGGCAGGGCAGCCGCAGGCTGCATCAAGCAGTTTGGTGGGCCAGGTGTGGCCCACGGATGCTGTCTTGCCCACCCCTGCCCTAAAGAGACATTACAAGCATTCCTCCAGAGGTTTCTAAATTCTGAGCTTATTAATTAGCTACAATGTACCATGCTGAAACCCGAGTGTGGTTCTTTTCTAATCTACTTTACACTGGACTTGTTCTTTCATACCAAGCTACCTTATTCTCTTTACTCTCTACCTTCCTTTAAGATTTTCTCACCTTTTGGTGCATGCAGCATATGCCCTATGTATGTAAAGTGAGCTGTACACATGCTACAGAGAACAACACAGGAGAGTGTTTTATTCTCTTATTTTGCCATGCAACTTAACTGAAAGTGACCTTTACAAAATGGAGAATGTTGTTCTTGATGTGAGCCAAACCTCTTTAAACTCACCTCCATTTATTACTCCACCTTAGCACGTTCTTAAAATATATTTACACATCTTTATGTTTTGATAATGTCAAAAAAATTACCACTGAATTTCCCCACAAACATAGAATATTTATGATTCTCAGTTAGAGAGTTTTAAATTGTTTTTCACCATTATTGAGCATCCCAAATACGAGATACAATGAAGATGTGCATATGTACATATGGCCATTTTGAACAGCTGGTGGTTCCCTCTGGTGCCGCAATGCTCTGGTGGGGGGAGGAGACTTACATATGGGCATAAACATACAAGCACAAATTGGATGACAAGGTCTGAATGTGGGATTTATTTCTTCAGCATCAGCAGGGCTGTCCGCATCCTCCGACCCATAATTTAGTGTCTGAAGTTACGGCAATTGGAGTGAGATACCATAAGATTGGTATTCAATGTAGGCAAAATTAAATCTACAGTGAATATCAGTGCTACAAGAGCAAATGTAACAAAGTACCAGTGGGAGATGAGGAGTATGTGACTCTCCTTCATACCTTGCAGGATCGAGCCCATAATTAAAACAGCAGAAAGGACACGATAAAACCTGCTCCCACTGAAGTCAGTAAGTTGAATGTGACTGACTTTGTAGGAACAGGATTAGACCTCAGGTTAGTATGCTATGTGCCAAATCCTGCTTGTCTCAAATAGTCTCATTGACTTCAATGAGATTACTTATGTGAGTAAGAAAGCCTTCCATGCTACATGCTTATGAAGTCTTTGTTATGGTTATATGCATGGACAATTATCACTCATACCGGTAGGGTTTAATAACATCATGGAATGATAAATGATATACTGCTACTTACCTTTCCTATCTTTATGCAGGAATTAATAGTATCTAGGAAATCAGCTTTTTTTTCATTTATAGGCACTTCAGTTAATTCCTTTCCTATTAATTCACCTATTTGATAGCCCATCGCTGTTTCAAATGCAGGATTTACATACTGTGAAATAAAACCAAAGCTTATTAAACACAAAAATTACAGGAATAAAGTCAAGACAGACCTGAATTTTGACCTACATTCTTAAACCTATTTTTTTACTAAGCTAAGTGTATGCATTATTTATATTTTTATCAGAACAAAACCAAACAAAATCCATTCTAGAAGCCTTGCACTTTTACAAAGCAAGCCTACATGCACGCATGAGCAGAGAGAGGGGAAATATAGATTTTATTATGGAAATGCAACAGTTTTACATTTCTAAGGAGTGATAATAGACAATAAATACTCTTGAAAATTGAGTCCTTTCAGTCTCAATCCTTTACTCTCAGTCTCAGTGTGGGAAAGGGTGAAGGTTTTGTAGGGTCGAGGAGTATTAACCAGTAATATTTTAATGGAAACAGCCAAGGATGGAGGAAGGGACCTCTTCGTCCCCACAAAGCTAAAAAAAAAAGGGCTGTGTGAAGGGGAATCTAAGAAAGCTGGGAGGTAGGAAAGCTGCAGATTGCACTGCTACTCCAATTTTATGGGATCCCTACATGCTGCCCACACAGAGGGGTTACACTTGTGATGGATCACTCATTCTAACATACCTATCTTAGGTTCTTAGATGGCTCCCATGACCATAATACTTGAATGCTGCACAGTCTTTAATGTATTTATCCTCATAGTACCTCTGTGACATAGAGATCTACTAGTTCTCCTCTTCCCCAAGAATCTCCTCTTTGCACAGCTGTGGCGCACACACTGGGGTTGCAAAACCCTCTGCAGAGTGGTTCCACTGGGTTTAAGCCTTTTCTGGAGGGTGGCATTTGGTCCCCCCTCAAAAGGGTGTTTTCAGACCATTTGAGGCCAAATTCTAGTAACTCTTAAGTAGAAGATAATGTACCATCTTTTTGCGTTTTATTTTCATGGATTAAGATTTGTGCCAAGAGCACTCAACTCAACATTCACCTTGTAATGGAGAGAAGTTTACATTTAAACTGTTCACTAATAAAAGTTCATTACTACTGTACAGACTGGATTAGTGTGTTAGCCTCTTGGGAGCATAGCCCTCCATGCCATCTGTGCTGACCTTATTTTGGGAATTAGAGAACCATATTTAAAAACGTGGTTCCAACCAACTCAGTTCCTGAATCTGTTTGACGAATGACTGTAGATGGAGCAAACAACCTCAGAACCACATTTAAAAAACTTATTCTACTCTTGTTTACACAGAGTTCCAATATGATTTGGCTTCATCCACACTAACTGGCCATAACATCACAGAAACAGTTTAGTTGGAGCTATGTTCAAATTTGGTTTAAATTCTGTTCTTTAAGACGGCCTGAGTTCCAGTGTGTACAGAGGGATGTATTTAAGTCTTCAAGGATAACGAGCTTTGAGAAAATGAGTTTAGTGATTTTATTCTAGTCCCTTGTAGACATTTGTTAAAACTTCACACTGAGGGTACTCTACACAGAAGTGTTATTTCAGAATAACCGACATTATTCCCAAATAATATAGTGCGTATCTAAACTACAAGCCTTTATTTCAAAATAATGTCGAGCTAGAGGACTTCTTACTCTGACTCATGGTAACCCTCATTTCATGAGGAGTAAGGGAAGTTGAAGGAAAAGTGTTCTTCCTTTGACTTCCTGCTGTGTAGACAGCGCCAAAAACCGAGTTAAGCTATTTTGACTTAAGCTACACAATTGACATAGCTGAAGTTGTGTAGCATAATTTGACTTTAGCCTTGCTATGTAGATGTACTCTCGGGTGCCTTGTCTGCACTTGGAATTAGCTTCACTTACAGCTAGGTTTGAAAGAAAAATAAAATTAATTCGCAACACTGCAGGAAAAGAAAGTCTATAAAACAGTAGCTGTGTTCACCAGCAGTTAGCAGCAGCATAAGCAATAAGCATTACAAAAAGACTGATGGTCAGAGCCACAGCATAGCCTCAAAGATTACTTATTTTTTAAAAGATACAGGGTTTTATACAGGATATTTCAAACTCAGGACATTATACCTGAGAACTAAATTAGACTCGTCTGTTCAAAATTATTAGGTCAGATGCTTGAATCTTTGTAAAAGAAGGAATATATTTGTAGATTAACTAAAAATTAGTGAATCCACAGAATAATATTTTATTCCTATAAAATAACTAGAACAAACCTGTATTACATGGTCTTCACTTGTAATCTCAATGGCTTCTTGACTTTTCTCGAGTGCTGTAAATATTGAATTACAAGCCCTTGTAGACAGAAAAAAACCCCAATGGATTAGATTTAATGCACGTGTGTCTTGAAGTATATAATCATAACATATCATAAAACAGAAACAAGCTACAAATTCTGGTAGGAAGTTTTGCTTAAATATTAAAAGTGACATACTTCTTTGGCTAACAAACTCTATAATGACGTCCATAGAGTAAGAAGAAATATTCTTTTTTGGATGAGGATAAATTTGGCCCTCTTTATTGTTGATGTTTTCCTGAAAAAGGTAAAAAATTACCTTAGTTTAAATTGTGCCCGCACTTCTCCAAATTCCAACTGAATTAGCTCATTATAACAGGCCATGATATTGGAATTTTCTACATATCTCTGTAAATGAAAAGTTAGAAATATTTCAGTAGTTGACTTTCCTGTAAATAAAGATATGCTGTTTTAAAGAAAAAAGAAATTATGAATGACAGCAGAGATGCATAAAATGAACAAATTTCCATGAGATCAAATATCAATGTGGCAATCAACAAAGTCAATAAATAAAATCAAACTAAATTGTTAAAGTTATTTGTCATCATGCAATTTACTTGAAATAACAAGTCATATTGTTAATCAAAGAAGTCAAATGTTAACACTATTTTACATGGGTTTTAGCTTTCTAAGTTACAATTTCATGGATAGAAATACACAATACTTTTTTTAACTGTTACATGACAAAATATTATCCCTTAGCCAAAATGTGTTCATTTTGGGCCTGATGCAAGGCCTAAAGAAGTCAACAAAAAGACTTCCCTGAATTTGTTGGGCTTTGATTCATACCCTTCATGTGTTTGGCCAAAGGGTTTGTCTATACATGGAGTTATTCCTGATTAACTGTTCCCTGATAACTCACTGTGTGAACACACATTCTGTAGTAAGAGTTCCATGTTCCTATTTAATTTAACCAAAGTCGGTTAAAACTGAACAGGTGCAAGAAACTCTTATTGCACAATCAATCTGTCCATGCATGAAGGAGTTATTCAGGACCAGCTGTTGTACTTCTACTACATCTCCTACCTTAATCAGAAACAACTTCCAAGTGTAAACAAGCCCTTAGGATGTTCACTCATGATAAAGTGTTATGGACGTTAAGGGAAGTTGATTGGAAGTAAGAGTTGCAGGAATGGACCCTGGAAAGATAATGTCAAAGCTATCAGGACCCTAATCCCACAAATACTACAGCATTCTGCATAACTTTACTCATCAGAGAAGTCCTTCTGAAGTCACTTGAACTACTCAGATGAATCAAGTTACTTCCCCCATTTAAGCATTTGCAGCACTGAGGTCCAACTTCAAATAAGGAAAGGGATGCAAATGTGCTACAATGGGGTGGCAAACAAACTAGTGAACATGCACCGTGCATCTCAGTTGTAAGTCGTGAACCTTTTGTTCCATCCTAAGCTTAATGTACTGAGGAATCCACCTAAGTGACACACTAATAAGCACCGTGTCTGCTTAATTGAGATAGTTGCCAGGGAACAGATTCAGAGTAATGTATTCTAGATGACTCTAAACGATAGATAATAGCACCTGATAATGTCTGTTGCCTGTTTACAGGTGAGAATTTGTGTCTGATAGCATAAATTTCCCACAGGATGTTCTGTGGTTCACCATAAGTTACTTAGCTTGTATAAGCCAGTAGAGCTTGCAGGTCAGTCTGGCCCAACCATGTATACATATAAGATAAAGCTTAATGCTTTTACATTTCTTTTAAAATAAGTAGACAAGAATCTCTCATAGTTAGGATGATCTCTGAAGTGCTCGTGTTTCTGATTCCATTGGGGTAAGCTAGCACAGAAGGAGACAATATATAACAATGGACTACAGGAGGTGAGGTTTTACACACTGGACTACTGATAAACCAGATCACAGAAAGCCAAATCACATCACAGTTCACACACTGCAGAATGATCATGGTGATGACAATACATACGTACCCTTGTGAAGCCTGCTGCAATCAGTGGCAATATTGATGACTCCTCACGATCAGCATGCCTTTCAAAGCAGAATGACAAAGTCAGAAATGTCTCTCTTGCTGATTCAATACTGATCCCACAAAATAATCCTTAGCAGGACTGGGGCCTAAAACCTACATACTGTGTAACCAAGCACTACAGTTTTGTTATTGTGAATCAAATACACTTCTTGTGCTTTGATAAACGTATTGAATGTTAAGCTGAATTCTCAGTAAACGTTACATCGACATGATTTTGCAATATTTCCATTTTTAAGTAGCCTCCCTAATTTTTATGCAATGCAAAATCAATGCTTCAAGCAAACAGACTTAAGAAATCGGTTGACTGGTCCGTATTTTTCTATTCTGGAATCATTGTCATTATTGCTAACCTTGGTTATTGGAAAATACAGCAAACTTGAAAGTTGATGTGGCCACAATATGATTATCAAAAGTGACTAGTGATTCTGGATGCCTCAAATCTTGATTGTCTAACTTGAGACATTTCAATAGGGCCTGGTTTTCCTGCAGGGCCTGAATATCAGGACTCTTTAAGATGTGACAATGCAGACACCCATAAAATGAGATATCAAAATCACTCATTTTTGAAAATTTTCAAGTTAAAGAAAATTGTATATGTCTTGAGATGGGGAAATCTGGAGGACTGGCAATTGTTTAGGTTTGGTTAAAAACTATCTCAGAGGTAACAGAGGCTTGTGATGCAGATGATGTAATAGCTTGACTTTAAATAGCTCTTCTGATTTAAAAACCTCTGGGCATGCTACATAAGTGGGTATGGTTATCTCTATTTCATAGATGGGGAAATGGAGGCATAGCCAAACTAAGGGACTTGCCCAAAGTCAAACAGTAAGTCAGTGGCAGTGTATCCTGTCCTAATGATTTGATCCCAGGAATACAGAATACAGGCAGTCCCCGGGTTACGTACAAGATAGGGACTGTAGGTTTGTTCTTAAGTTGAATTTGTATGTAAGTCGGAACTGGTACATATTGTAGGGGAAACTCTAGCCAAACATTTCTCCAGAGCTCAGTTTTATTCTCCCACACCTCACTTCCCTCAGTCCTTTATTCTGAAGCTGAGGTGTCTGCTGAGAAAAGCCGCTCCTCATCTCCCTGATCTGCTGAGGGGGGCGCTAGCTTCGCGTCTCCCTGGTCTGCTGGGGGGAAGCAGCTAGTGCGGGGTTGCCTCATCCCGTTTGTAAGTAGGGATCCGATGTAAGTCGGATCCATGTAACCCGGGGACTGCCTGTACGCTGAATCCCAGGAGTACAAAGAAATAAATGTAAGATACTGGCAAGAAAACTAAATGAACTGTTGGAACCTGCTTCTAGAGAAATGATCCTAAACACAACAGAAGAACATCCATAAAGTGTCAGCTAACACAGGCTTTGTCTTCCCTGACACAAAAGTGGTTTTTCTATAGATAATTGGCATGATTGTTATCTCACAGTAACACTCACAAGGCATTTGCTTTCACCATCAGGTTGCTAAGTGAGGTCAACGCTTCACCCCCTGCCTGTGGTTGGCTCACTCCATTTACCTTGCGCTAAAACCACAGTGCTTTGTCTCCACTCCATTCTTACAGAGGGAGAGCTAATAGGCGGTAGTTACCCCATGGTAAAAACACATGTTTATATTGGGTCAGTGAAGACATAACTGTGGTGTGGCTGCACTGCAACGGGAGGTGTGCTGCATTTTGGGATGGCAAACCAATGCCTGCTTTAATCTAGCTAGGATGGCTAAAAACGGCAGTGAAGATGTGGCAGCACAGGCTTCAGTGTGATCTCTATGAGCCTGCCCTGCACCGTGAGGAGGTACTGGCATTGCTAGCCTGTGACAGGGTCCATGCTGCCGCATCATCCCTGCTATTTTTAAGCTATCACAAGTATGCCCACCTGAGCTGCAGTCACATCTCCTACTACATTGTAGACATACCCCCAGTGCAATGCAAATTTAAACTTTACACCAGGCTGGGATAGTGAGTGTTCTGAAAAGCTGGAGAGTGCAAGCTAATGAGATCTTCTCTTGAAAAGCATGTATCCTCATCACAGCATTCACAATGTGAACTTTTCTTTAAAAAAGTAACTGCGAAAAACCTCTTTCCTACCATAGCTATGATTTAGCAAGGCAGGCTCAAATTGGTGTGTGTACACACACACACACACACACGCACACAACCCCCCCCCCCCCAAAAAAAAAAATTCCCAGCTGGCCTTCGCTACCAAGGGTATGCTGTATTTTTCTTTTTTTGGTGTGGGACAAGAAGTTCTTGAGGCAGATTCCATTATCTCTCTCTCTCTCCCCCATCCTCCCTCACTTTCTCCCCCCCCCTTTAAATTACTCTAATAAAAGACAATCCAGCTTTAAGGGCTGTCATGGCTATGGGATGTGGTTTTGCTGGCACAGTCAAGATTTTCCAGTGGCTTCCCTTGCTCTGGCCTAACGTGCCACCTGCCAGCTTCTCCTTCTTTTGGCCAATGCTTCTTTCTGCTAAGACTGGACTCCAAACACAGTGAAGCAAAATCAAACCAGGGAAAAAGATGAGAATGTAGCCAAGATCAAGGTTGGCTGAGTGGGAGGCAACTCATTAGGCCAGGATAGAGGCACTGGTTGGGCCTGACTTCAGCAGAAAGATAAGGAATACAAACAGCTGGATCTGTAGTGGAGAGAGGAGTTGGAGAGACCAGAACAGGGGTGACCAGTAAAGGCAACTGGACAACTCTCCCAGAGGCTTTCACTGAAACAGCAACAAAACTAGTTTCAGTAGCAGAATATGTAAGACTACAGGTTAGAACCTCTCTTGTCTGGCACCCTCAGGACCTGAGTTGTTCTGAACCAGTGAATTTTCTGGACCATGGGAGGTCAATATTGTCTACCAGGACTACCAACACTTCCACTGCTTACAGGGCTGTTAGAGGACATTTGGGGTATATTAGAGCTAAATAACAGCACAAAACACTAAGAACTAGAACTGGTGTCTGTAAACAAACTATGGGACTGCAGGAAACTTGGCCATACCCATGAAAAGTGGACATCCAGCTAACTAAAATCATTCCAGACTACTGATGTTTCCAGACTAGAGTGTTCTGGACTAGAAAGGTTCAACCTGTAGTAGGACAGGAATTTGATACAGGAGCAATCCTGGCAAACTGAGACAACCGCTCTCCCTAGAGACAGCAGCAAACAAAACATCCACTCAAAGAGGGTATGAAGAAGGAATGAGAGGTGTCAGGCCGACTGTGGGTGCAGTTATGTATCTAGGGAACATGATGGTTTCAAGGAGGGGCTTCCATAGGTGCTCACACATTCAATCTTGAGAAGACCCCATAGCTTGTCACACAGGGTTATGTTTTGGGGTCAAGTCATGCTCTCAAAAGCTTCTGTGATTGGGGTGGAGATATCTGGTGGAAATCAGAAATCAACAGGAAAGGCTGCATCCCTCCTACAGCAGATGATGGTGAACATAGCACACAGTAAAAATATAGTGTCACCAATACAATAAAGTGTAGAGCTGTTATTCTAGTATTTGCCTCGGCAATGATTCGAGACAGATTCATGTGATTGTTTATAATGGAAAATAAAGATATTTTCAATTTACCTTCGTACTACACCAATTATGACTGTATTTTCTGAGGGTTTAGTTGTTCGGATAGCCCTTAAAATAAAAACATTAACAAGATCACTTAACATTTTTGTAGTTCACCGTTAGAAATCCTACTGTGTCTTCAGAAAATCTCTCTCAAATGCTTAATTTAAAAAAACAAAAACAAATCAAAACTAAGTCCCTAACTTGTTTGGTAATTACAAAGACAGCTAGGGTTAGTAGTTAATGAGTGTCAATGGAAAAAACAACATGAAAATTGTAGATTAGTCTAGATTTTAGCCAATGTAAGGGATGGAATAGCAAATATCTCTCCCACACAAACAACATGAAACCAATATTTACACTGCATTCACAATGCTCCTTTCCAAAAGAAGCCATCCCCTAAGTAGTTATACACTTTTCAGACTTGTCCTCAGTCAGTTAATGAGTATTTTACTGTGCTCAGGAATGGAGTAGTAAAAATGTAACCAGGGGAACACCAATACTCTCCTGCTTCTCCTGACAGATCTTAAACAAATTCCTTTATTCTAACAAGGAATAAAGCCTTTGTCACAGTGCCCTGACCCCACCACACGCACCTGTAGTCAGTACTCTGATGTCAGCACTCACACCCCTATTGATTATTTAGTCTAGACATGCTCTTAGGGGCTGCGTCTAGCCTGGCATGATTTTGCGGAAATACTTTTAACGGAAAATTTTTCTGTTAAAAGTATTTCTGCAAAAGAGCGTCTAGATTGGCACAGATGCTATTGCGCAAAAAGTACTTTTGTGCAAAAGCATCCATGCCCAGTATAGACGCGCTTTTGCGCAAGAAAGCTCTGATGGCCATTTTAGCCATTGGGCTTTCTTGCGCAAAAAATTAAGGTGCCTGTCTACACTGGCCCTCTTGCGCAAGTATTCTTGGTAAGAGGGCTTATCCCTGAGCAGGAGCGTCAAAGTATTTGCACAAAAAGCACCGAATTCTTACATTAGAACGTCAGTGCTCTTGCGCAAATTCAAGCAGCCAGTATAGACAGCTGGCACGTTTTTGCGCAAAAGCAGTTGCTTTGGCACAAAATCTTGCCAGTCTAGACGGACCCAGGGAGTATATCACTAGAAACTGAAGCAAGGCACTGTTGCATTTTAAGTCCTCGTAGAGATACGAAAGAATATCTCCCCCTTGTTCATGTGCTATAGTAATTTGTGGGGGGTGGTTTTGGAGTCAATTTGCAATACAAGGTTTTTGAGAAAGATGATGCATTTCAGACCAGATTTACAAATATTGTGGGTGTGCAACTGTCCACACAAATGTTGCACGTGTAATTGCATGGGATATTTCAAGAAAATGAGCATAGCAAAGTGCTGGAACAATCTGTATAAAGAGGGTGCTGAGAGCCATTGCACCAAACTGTAAACCCTCTATATAATGAAAATCACTTTAAGCCAGGTGGTGCAGGTGCACCTCCAACATCAGGGCTAGATGGGCCTGGGACTGATAGATTTTGTGGGGCCCTCCTAGGATCTGGGATGGGGCCAAAAATGAGGGGATAGTGTACAGTAGGGGGCTTCCCAGGAGCAGGCTGGGGGTGAAGTGGGATCCGGGCTAGAGTTAAGGTGCAGGAGCTGGATGTGAGTGGGGTTTCAGGGTCTGGATGGGAGAGAGGGTGCAGGGTCAGGTGCGAGAGGGGTTTCGTGTGGGAGTGTGGAATCTGGGAAAGAGGGAGGATGCAAGAGCAGGCTGGGGGTGGGGCACATTTTGAGCCTTCCCTCTACTCCTTTATGTGAAAAATATTATTTTTGAAATTCTAGTGTGATGGAAGTTACCGTATGGGTGGGAGGTAGGGTGCAGGAGCAGGCTGGGGGTAGGATGCTGGGTCTGGTAGAGAAGGAGTTTGCCAGAGGGAGACTGGGGCAATTTCCTGGTGTGGCTCCTGTTTGGCAGGGGGAGGCGGTGGTTCCACAACACGCACGCTTGCAGATACCATCCCCGCTGTTGCCACTGGACAGGATTCCCGCCAGTGGGAGCGGCAGGGGGGAGGCCTGCAGGGTCAGAGTTTCCCTGTGCTCATGGTGATGCAGATCCTGCCTGGCGGGAGAGGGAATGGCAGTGCACAGAGCTGCTTCTCCCCCTCCCCGCCGCCAGGCACAGCTGGTCAGGAATGCAGCATGCAGGGGCTTTAGTAGCAGTATCCAAAGGCCACAGGTTAACAGCCCCTCCTTAGACTGTGGCCCTGGGCTGCAGCCCCTAAAGCCCCTTCCATAATGTGGCTCTGCCTAGCACTCTAGTCCCAGCTCCGATGCACACAAATGGCTATTTAAATTAATTTGTGTACGGTATAGGGGTGTTAAATATCAGAGAGTTGAACAGTTGAGTTACCTCATGAATTCTTATCAGACCGTTACTCGACGAGTCTATACTCAGCGGGGGCGGGGCTGGCAGCCAATGTGCTCCTGCCTCACTCATAAGGAGCTCCCTGCCACTCTGTGCTGCTGCCTCTGTATCAAAGGAAGCAGCACAAGGGGCGGGGCTGGCAGCCAATGTGCTCCTGCCTCACTCATAAGGAGCTCCCTGCCACTCTGTGCTGCTGCCTCTGTATCAAAGGAAGCAGCACAAGGTGCCAAGTGGGAGCTGGTCCGCAAGGGAAGCCTGTTTAAAAACCAGCTCCCCTCGTGGACTGGCTGCCTGTCTCCCTAGGTTGCTGCCTCTGATAAAGAGGTAGCAATGCGGGGTGGCAGCAGCCCATGTCCGGAACTGGGCTGAGCTCCTAAATCCAGCATGAGCCAGAACTGAGCCAGGCTGCCTGCCCGCCCGGCTCCTAATACATTTTAAATGCTCAGCCGCACGAGGAGTAGGTCCTGGACCTGCTGCAACCCAGGACTGAGCTAGGCTGCTGGCCAGCCTGCTAAAAAATTTTGCTGGCAAAGTAGGAGGAAGGGAAATGCATGTAGTCTCTAGCATTAACCTATTGGTTAATCAACTACACTATTACACCCCTAGTACAGAATGCTCAGATTTCTGTGTGCAAATTAGGAATGGAAGTGTGGGCCTAGGTGTTTAAAACTCCAGCACTTCAGCCTCACTTTGGCAATAAGTCTCAGCAGTTATTTATTGCTTTGCAAATGACAAAGCAATTGTGTACCCCCCTCAGGTATGATTGGGTTTGGGGTTTTTTTTTTTTTTTGCACATTTCTAGATTTTTATCAGAAAGCTAATACAGTATATAAACACCACATTTATGGAAACAGATTCACTGTAACTTTCTACTTTCTTCCTGCCTATAATCACATTCTGAACTTTCCATCTATTCCTTTATACGAAAAATACTATTTTTAAAATTCCATTGTTATGAAACTTACCTGCATAGAGCTTCTGCATCAAAATATTTGGAATGTCTATGGTCAATAATGATAATTTCATGCTGTTTATCCAGAAAACATTCTAGTGCAGATTCAGGTGTCCTGGCAATATTATACCGAAACCCAGCCTTCTCACAGGCCCAGCAGAACCCGTTACTCTGGTTATCTTCTTTGGCAAACACTAAAAGTACCTGAGTCAAAGAAACAGAGTCAATCCTATTTAAAAGATTTTTAAATATACAGCACCGTAGCTACTTCTACAAGTCACAAGCCACTTTATGAAAACCTTAGTGAAGTCCGCTTACAAGTTTTACATACAACATTTAATAAAACTGTTTTTGATACAGCCAAGGCATATTTTAACAAGAACACTATTACAACTAGAATACAGACTGTGTAATAACAATAAACATATGGTTTATCATAGAAATATTCTGTAATATGCCCTTTTACAGATATACAAGTAACCTTCCTTCATTTTTTTTTGATCGTGTTCCAGCAAAGCACTTAAAATGGGTGTCACCATAAGCATGTGAGCAGTCCCAAGCATATGCTTAAGGGATTTGCTGGACAGGGCTTTAGTACAGGATGTCCACTTGCTAACACTTCTGGAATCACAGACTAACTCATTTGTGGGAAAATCTGCACAGATGCTGCAGCAGCATAATGGAAAACACGCCATGCCTTCCACCACATCCTGACTCCCCAGAAATATTGCGAATAGCAAGAATTCTGGGAACCGGGTGAGCTCACGAGGTTGTGAGGTCATGAGTGGTATTCCTATGTGTTCAGCTTGCCCCAGCTAGGACTCTTAGGCAGAGCCTGTCTTGCAATTTATTTCAGATGGAGTGTGCTGTGGTTAAAATAAAAACCTGAGAGTGAGGAATTTTGGGACCTAGTGTTGGCTTGGTTACATGCCAGAAACTTTGGCAAGCTTAATGTCTCTGTGCTTCCATTTTTTTTTTCTTTGGAATGGGGATACTAATGCTTACCTACTTCATATGGATGTGGGGAGGCTTACATTCCTTCATGTTTGTACAGTATTCAGAGAACCATGATAGAGGGTGCTATAGAAGGTGAAGGGGGCTGGATCCAAAGGTCATTAAAGTCTACAGAAAAATTGCCATCGCCTGCACTAAGCTTTGCATCATCAGGATGACATGGTGGAGGGAGTGAGGAAGAGGCTTTCTTTGTGAGGTTTGCAGACAGAATATGGATGCTGCTTTTGAGATAATTCAGTGTGTGTCCATGTTTGAAAGAGGGGTAATAAAGACACCTTCCAAATTTGGCCACTGTCACACAGCACCAAAACTTTCAGTAATTTAATCAAACTACAATAAAATATATATACTCTGGTCAAACAATAATGTTTAGTGTCTGCAACTCACACCACATCCTTCTGAACTTTATACTTCTGGGCTATTTTAAGAATCCCAGAGGTATCTACACTTCGGACACAGTTGGTGGAATGTCTACCAATAAATCTTAACATTTACATGTACTGCATATTTTTGTAAGAGTGAAGGACTGTGTGTTCATTTAGCTCAGGTTCCTTTTATAGCAACGAATAGTAGTTTATATTAAACTTTCTGTAAAACATGTCATAGTTTGCACTATTTTTAGTGCTATAGTGCTTTCTTAAGAGAGGAAGGATCATTTTGTAGTAAAAGCACTAAATAGCAAATCAGCAGATTTCGGTTGCATTCCTGGCTCTGCCACAGATTTGAAGTCATTTAACCTCCTTGTACCTCAGTATTCCTATCTGTAAAATGGGTGTAGTAATACATAGCTACCTCCCATGGATATTATGAGACTTGATTTACTTCTGCCCTAGTCTGGGGAAAAAGCAAGATGATGTATTCATTTTATCTAAGGATGAAACACTCTTCAGTCCAACGGTCACTAAGGAGGATGTTAAACAGCAGTTCCTGAACATTAGGCCTTTTAAAATTGCAGGTCCAGCTAACTTGCATCCAAGTGTTTAAAAAGAGATGGCTAGAGAGTTCCCTGGACCATTAATGCAGATTTGCAATGTGTTGCAGGGAACTGGAAGAAAGCTAATGCAGTGGTAATATTTCACAGAGGTAAATGGGACAACCTGGGAGGTAGGCCTGTCAGCCTGACACTGCACCTGTGCAAAATAATGGAATAGCAGGTACAGGAATTAATTGATAAAGAATTAAGGGAGAGTAATATAATCATTGTCAATTAGCATGAGTTTATGGAAAACAGATTATATCAAACTAACTTGATTTTTTTTTTTTTTTGGTGAGAGTATTAATTGAATCAACAAAGATAATAGTGTTGATGTAATATATCTGGACTTCTGCAAGGCATTTGACTTCCTAGATTTTTAATTAAAATGCTATGTAGTATGATGATACAAAATCAAGATGACACACATTAAATGAATGAAGAACTGGCTATCTGATAGGTCTCAAATGTAATCTTCAATGGAGAATCATTATTAAGAGCGTGTAGTTCTAGCGGGACTGAAAACAAGCAGGCTTTGGTCCCACATTCTTTAACATTTTTATCAATGAAGAAGCCATAACTGGAATCAACCATAACATTATCCTGGATAAAGTTTGCAGATATACAAAGATTGAGGGAGTGGTGAATAATGAAGAGGACAGGTCACTGATACCAAGTGATCTGGATCATAAGCAGGACACAAGCAAATAATGTGTGTTGTAATACAGCTACATGTGCATGTATATATCTAGGCACTTAGAATGCAGGTAATACTTATAGAGGATGGGGAACCTCATCCTGCAAAGTGGTGACCCTCAAGTTATTTTTCAGACTCATGATGGTAGTTCCCATTGCAATGCGGTAGCTAAAACAGCTACCGTGATCTGTTGGATGTATAAGAATTGGGGACTATTGAGTACAAGTAGAGAGGCCCCTCTGTTTGGCACTGGTGTGACCACAACTGGAATAATATCTTGTATTGTTGTTCAAGAAATACTGGAGAATTTTAGAGAGAAGCGATGGCAATGATTAAAGGATGGAAAAATATGATATAGCAAAAGGCTCAAAGAGCTCAATCTATTTAATTTATCCAAGGTATGGTTGTGAGGGACTTGATCACAGTCTGTAAAGTACCTTAGGCTTGGTCTATACCAAGACAGATCAGTTTACAGCTCCAGCTATGCAAAATGTGTAGCTGGAGTTGGCTTACCTTAAGCCAAGCCATGGCAGTGTCCACACAGCAGGAGGCCAACGAGAGCACATGTTCCCGTCACCTTCCCTTATTCCTCACAAAATGAGAAGTACCGGACGCTGGTGGGGGCTGCCCCCAGCATTTGATTTAGGGGTCTACATTGGACCCGCTAAATTGAACACTAGAAGATCGACTTCCTGAAGGTTGATCTTCTTCATAGTGTAGACTATCCCAAATTGGGGAACAGAAATTGATAGTAGAGGGTTCTTCAGTCTAGAAGTAAAAATGTAACTGGATCCAATGGCTATAAATTGAAGTGAAACAAATTCAACATTTCCATCAATGGATGCATTTAAATTAAGGTTGGATTTTCACGAGGCATACAGGATCTGCTGACGAAGGGTTCTGGGGTCGGCAGATCCCCATCTAGACTGCCGCACTGTGCCGACAAACAGCTGATCGGCACAGCGCAGCGGCCATTTTGATGTAAATGAAGCAGCAATTATTTAAATCGCCGCTTCATTTCCCTTTGCTGAGTAAACTCATCTACACGGCTCCGTCGACGGAGCCATGTAGTCTAGACACACCCCAAGAGGAGATGTTAGAAAAACAGTAGGGAAGGAGATCAGGAATAGGGAGACAGCTTTATGAATCAGTCAGGAAGACAGGGTTAGATACCATATGCATGGATAATATTGCTAAGAGATGGGATGTAGAGGGAGAAGATGAGTGGAACACTGATGGACCTCTCTGGGATACCCATGGAAAGGGTAAGGGGTGAAGAGGTGGCTTCACCAAGGCTACGTCTAGACTGCAGGCTTCTTTTGGAAGAAGCTTTTTCCAAAGAGATCTTCCAAAAAAACTTTTTCCAAAGAAAGCGTCCACACTGCCAAAGCATCACACTGAGTGGACACTATATCCAATTTAAGCTGTGATTACTATGGACAGAGTGGCCACCAGAGCACCTGTGCTTTTCCTCTTTCCTTTTCTTTCAAAAGAACTCCCTCTTCCCCGTCTACACGTGCTTTTTTCCGAAAGAGCTCTTTTGGAAAAAGGCTTCTTCCTCGCAGAAAGAGGATTACCAATGCCGGAAAACCCCCTCTGTTCTTTCAATTTTCTTTCAAAAGAATGCGATTGCAATGTAGATGAAATTGAAGTTTTTTTCTGAAAAACGGCCATTTTTCAAAAAAAAAAAAAAAACCCCTCTATAGTGTAGACATACCCAAGAGAGGTATCGATGGAAGAACCAGAGAGTCCGAAGAAGAACTAAGGGTACATACAAATGAGAAGATTGAAGTAGTTAATGAAGCGGGGATTTAAATATGCCGTGCTTCATTAACATGATCTTGCCGGCGCACTAGTTCGAATCACAGCTGATTCGAACCAGGAAGTGCGTGCCAGGACGCGTTAGTTTGGACTAAAGCCCTTAGTCCAAACTAATGTTACTCCTCATTTTTTGAGAAGTATTTAAATCCCCGCTTCATTAACTACTTCGATCTTCTCCATTTGCATCCCTAGTCCGAACTAGGGATGCAGTATAGATGTACCCTAAGAGAGGATGGAATTGCACAAGCTGAGAAAGGATGCTCTGCTTAATGTCTTGGGCTGCCAAAAGCTCAAAGAGGATGAGGATGGAATAGATGGTCTGAGATTGGTCCATTTGGATCATTAAAAAGCAACTTTGTTCAGAGAACTTTCAGCAGAATGAATTGTAGCGGATGCCAAACAGATTGGACTGGAATATAGGTGGAAGTGGAATACAGAAACTAGGAAAAATTATTGAAGCTGTCATGTTCAAAAACGTAAGAGCTGCAGGAGAGAAGGGAGAGAGGCTGGATATAAGGTGGGATTTATTTTAGGTTGGGAAAATGTACAGAGTCTGTCAGTTAAATAACATGCTTGTCACCTAGCACATCAAAATGCTCTGTGGAAAGGCTTTGCACACAAAACAGATCCAAATACAATTTGGTCTTTAGTTTCAGCTGTGAATATTTGTTTGTACATCAACCTGCTTACTGTAAATTACAGGACAAGAGCAATGTGATGGTCATGAAACTACACATGAATTTCAGTATTTCCTGAATTTCAGGAAATTTCAGTGTTACCTGAAGTTGATCTTGGTGGAGTCTCATAGGGCCAAACTGCACATCTGTCACTGCTGCCTACAAACGAGAAGAGAATATTATAAATACATACGTGCCCATGCAGGAAGGAAAATCAGCTTTCTTAAGGAAGTTATCTTTTATTTACCATGGGGTCGCAAATATATTGCTATTGTTATCAGCTCCTCTGTCTATGAGGATTTTGTGTTGCTTTTAGCTATTTCTATTCAATGCAATAACAACAAGGTTACAAAGCAACAAGCAGGTCACAGTAATTTCTAACATAAAGCAATGTAGTAGTCGTATGAGTATGCTAGACCTGTGGTTTTCAAACTACGGGTCATGACCCAGTACTGCACTGTGAAATGTCAGACACCCACTCTCATTGCTTCAGGGAGATCAGGTGACAAGTGGGAGGTGCTAAGGCAGACTACCTGCCTGTCCTGGCACCTCAGCCTGTGCTGCGCCCCACAAGCGACCAGCAGCAGACTTGGCTCCTGGGGGTGGGAGAGGAGAGTGCACAGGGCTCTGCTCTGAGCACTAGCTCCAAACTCCCATTGGCTGGGAACTTGCTACTGGCTGCTTCTGGGGCACAGCATGGTCTGCAGAGCTGGAGAGACAGGAAACCTCCCTTACAACCCCCCCACTGAACAGCTGACCTGGAGCTGCTCAAGGTAAGCCCCTCCTGCCCCAGCACTGACACCCCCAAAGCAGGAGTCCCCTCCTACAACCAAAGCGCTCACTCTCAGCTGCATCCCAGAGCCTACACTCTAGTGAGATTATGTTGGGTCCAGGGCATCAACAATTTTCTTCAATTGGGTCATGAGAAAAAAAGTTTGCTAGACTGAGAATATAAAATAATAAGCTGTATCACTTCAGCTGTTCCAGAACACTGGCAAATGTTTAGAAATTGCTTTATTTTAAAACATGTAAATAAGCATTTCATTCACAAAAGAAAGCTAGACGTACATCACTCAGTACAATGGGGTGTGCACCCCACACAGGAGTGTAAGGAGTTAAGATGACCAGGCAGGATAATTAACACCACAGGATGCACCTGAAGGGCGGAGCTAGGGAGCAGGGAACTGATGGAAAGCAGGCTCAGAAATGGGCAGGGCCTAGAAAGCCAGGAAGCTGGCAACAGACAAGGGCTGCTGAAAAGGAGCCACTGCTCCCTATGCTGTAGGAGGAGGGTTTGGAGTTGGTACATCCAGAGACATTGGTAACTTATAGTAGCAATCAGGAGGTGCATGCCCTGTGCCCCCACCACAATTTTAATTGCTAAATGAGGCGCCTTCACATACTCCCTCCTTACCCCGCAGGCACCAGTCCTCTCTGCATGGAGAAAGTGGGGGGACAAGTGAGGGGAAGTGGTCTAGAGAAGAAGCAATGAGGGCTGGAGGGCTGCGAGAGTAAAGCCTTGAACTGTGGGAATGAGCAGTGAATGGGAATACTCATAGGGCTGGTGAAGGAAGATTTTGATATTTATTAGAAAGGGAAAAATGCTGAGTGACCTGACCAGAAGTCTGAGTCATGAAGAGGATGCCGTGCTTCCTGGGACAAAAGAGGCGCTGAGAGAGAGGCTATGTCTAGACTGCAGGGAGATCTTCTGCAAAAGTTCTTGCGCAAGAGCGCCCACACTGCAAAAGCACAACGAAAAGGTGATGGGCTTTTGCGAAAGAGCATCCAGACTGTATGGATGCTCTCTCGAAAGTAAGCACTGATTGGTATGCACAGAATGGCCACCAAATCACCTGTACTTTTTCCTCTTTCTTACACAAAAACCCTTCTTCCCCATCCACACCGCCTTTTTGCAAAAGAACCCTTTGGCAAAAAGGCTTCTTCCTCGTAGAATGAGGATTACCAATTGCGCAAACCCCCCTCTGTTCTTTTGATTCTCTTGCGCAAAAACGCGCTTAAGGTGTGGATGCTCTGTGAGTTTTTGCAGAAAAACAGCCATTTTTCTGCAAAAACTCTGTAGTATAGACATAGCCAGAGACAGTGTAAGAGCCCACAAGTGCAGGAATGAGCATCCGACTGTGTGGCCAGCAGGAGGTGCCAGACGAGCCATGAGTGGTGTGCCTCCTCATGCTCTGCTTTATCAGCAGTAAATTTCACTACATAATGATGAGTGCTTGAAAGCGATACAAATAAATATACACCCTTCACTTCCCAAAGTATGCTCTGATGCACTACTTCCCAAGGCCATACTGGTAGAGACTGCAAGTGCCCCTCAAACCGAAGGCTGTGGAACTCTGAGAGAAGCATTTAAAGGCATGTATATTTAAAATGCTCTTCTACTTTGAAACGTAAAATGACATTGTGGTGGGCCAAGCTCACTGTGTGTCAGTGATTTCCATCGTGAGACTGTTTGGATTATGTATGAATTGACTCTTTTTCTAAGTGCCAACTTAGCTTGGTAGCCAAGAGACAAGTTAGGATCTTTCTTTCTTTCCCTCACGTCATTGCAAGTAACGATGATCAGGAACGTCGGCTACTATTGCTAGTTCTGCCAACAAACTCTCTTTGTCACCATTGACTATAAGGCATTACTGATTTGCCTGAAGACATGAACAGGAGTCAATGGAATGGCTCTTAAACAGCATTGGGATAGATTTTCAAAGGTATACAGGGGCGTTCGCAGGGCTGAAAATCCCCCGAGGCACCTATCTGCCTATTTAGGGGCTTAAATACCTACAAAATCTGGCCTTTCAAATTTTTGGTCTCTGAGGGTGCCTTTATAAAGCAAAAGCAATACACAATGGCAGCAAGTCTCAAAGCTTGGGTGAATTGACTTGGCCACTGACTGAAGGATGAAAAACAGCAGTGTAGATGTTCAGACTTAGGTTGGAGCCAGTTCTGCAAGGTTTTCTCCCCGCCATGTTTCAGAACCCTGGCTGCAGCATGAGCCCTAACATTTATAGAGCTATTTTTAGCTCTGCAGTGCAAGCCAGACTCACTGCCCCAGGGGATTTTTTGGGGGAACCAGGGGAAACTCTGTTGTTGTACCCTGAGAGACAGAACACAAGCAATGAGCAAAGAATTCTCTTGAAGGAAAAGAGGAACTAACATCCAGCTGGCACTCTGTTAGCTGTGCAGGCGTTGCAGGGCTAACTGGGTAAAAAAACAGAAGAAACTTATTTTTGGCAGTATAGTAAACAAAGAGGACTCAGGAGCATATACATATAAGAAACAGATCTGTCAAGTACAAAGGTGGCATTTTTACATTGTTTTTTTCAGAGTAAAACCACACTTTAAGATCAGATTTAATCCTTTGCAGTCTACAATTTTTCCAATTAGTAATTTTAAAGAACCATCATTACGTCCCATATACCACATAAAACCCTCTTAAAATTACATGCTCTTTTCTCTCTATGACCTTATTGCTCCATTGCGTAGCCCATAAGGCTCTTCATGTGAGCTTGTATTTGTTTATCAATTTGGAAATCATCAATATAACTTTAAATGTGAAAGAAATATGAGGCAAGGAAAATGCCAGTGTAACACCTGAGAAAACAATACAGGAACAGTTTATGCCTTCGTTATTAAAGTGGGACTCTAACAGTGACTGTAAAATCAACATGGAGAAGGTTCCAGATTTACTTTCTCAATAACTTCCAGGATCAGATTTATTCACTTTAAATGCTCGTCAAAGGTGACTCTTCTTATTACCAACACTGAAAATTCTTCATGAGACATGAAAAATCAAGCTGCTTTGTTATGCCACTCACACCTGATAAACATTTTGCACAAAGAAATTAGCCGGTAATTTAGTTGATGCATGAGGTAGATGCAAATCCATCTTTCTCTGCCATCGCTTTACTGGCTTTGTGGTGCTAACAGTAGTAACAACTTGGTTTTAATCAGTAAAGTCAGCAGAAACGCCTGGCGGACATACAAGGAGAATATCTACAGAGTAAGAGTTGCCATTTTAACAGTCACTTTTCTGACCATAACCACACTTAACATCACATTTTGAAATATTTATTTTTTTGTGCATTCAAGCTGCCAGCAGAAAGACTTTTTAATTTTAACTAACAATGACTTTGAGCTGTAAGGTTCAGACCCAGCACTGAACTTTTTAAAGTTTACGGGTAGTTAGAACCAGTGCCAAATCTAATATTAAGCAGTAAGATGTAATTACTGCAGCCGGCTATTTTTTCACTTTCTCCTTTCCTCTATAAGTCTGTGGGAGAATTTTGCTCCTGGAAGCATTGAAAGACCAACGGTCTGATCCTGCGTGGAATCAAGCACCCTCAATTTCCATTGACTTCTGTGAGGGTAAAAGAAGCCCAGCATCTGTCAGTAAGAGCTCTGCACTTAGCAGGATTGGGTCCTAATAGCAATGGTTGGAGCCAGGCATAAAGAGACTGTGTTGGCAGGTTCTGTGCTGTTTTCCCCATACAGACCTCCCCCCTCCATCCACTACATCAGTTTCACTTGAAACCCCCGGCTATTTCAGACCAAAACTTCCCTTAAGTAGACACTATTAACTGCGGCCAGTTATGTCCTATTTCACTGTAGTTTTCAAATGGGCATGCATGGAACCAATCCCCATTGACTCTGCTCACACAGAGAGTCTCATGAGACCAATGGGGCTAGTCGCTGGAATAAGCCAAGCAGGAATTGCCCAACAGGAGGTTTGCTGAGTCTACAAAATACTTATTTTGCCAATGTGACGTTTTAGCTCCACTTACATCCAACGCCTGCATGTGATCTTGTTACATGTTAACTTTCTGTCCCAGGTGGAAGAAAGTTAACTCTTCTGCATCGCAGCTGGAAAATTTGGTGGCAGTCTGGTTAATTCTTAATCTGATTGAAATCTGTTCAAATACCTTGATTAATCATTTCACTTCTACTTATGTGCAAAAGTCTCTTGCGGAGAAGGGATCCGAAGAGGAAAGGCATTTGCGAGTACGACATATGCAAATGAGTGCTCCATTTGCATTTCCTCTTGCAGTACAGACGTAGCCTAGACTAGACTGTGGCTTTGAGCCAGAGCCCACCATAGATGGAGAATGAGGAGGCATTGGTGAGTTCTGACAGTGGATCATCCTTCT